GACGCCATCTGAGGGTGCCTAATGGAGATTTGCATTATGTTTGGGCATCTCAGATGACATTATAAAAGTTATCAGGGAACCCAAAATTGTTTGAAAGAAGTAGGAACCTTGGGTTGCCCTATAATTTGTATGACGTCATCCATTGACGTAGTTAAGGGGGGCTACGCCCCCCTGCGTTGAAAATAGTCCTCCCTGACAAATCATCAATCTGTCATATTTATTATTTTTTTGAATAACCGTATGTTTTTTTTTAACTTAAAAATTTTTGAAGGTTCTTCCAAGGTATTTGACCTTGAAACCAAAAAATAATTTCGGCTGCGCCGCTAATTTTTTTCCTTTTTTAATAATGACTGAAGGCTTGAGCCCCCCATGGAAAAATTACCTAGCCACGCCCATGACGTCATCTGGGATGCCACAACATAATGCAAATCTCCATAAGGCACAAAGAAGTAGTAAGAAGGTTTGGAATGGGCTTTGCGTAACTGAAATGATTCAGCGCTAATAAGAACAAAAAAAATCCATTGGATCTCTCGGATTTTTCACTCTAACCTTGAGTGAGATGACCCTAGTAAGGGCAGATAATCTCTCCTTTTTTCTCACTCTAATTTTAACCTACTTATTGAGTAAATAGACAAGGGACCATTCCAAACCTTCTTACTACTTCATTGGAGGCACCCCAGATGACGTCATCAGGTTACTCATTACCACAACCTATCACAAGAGCCGGGAATAATTTAAATTCATGTCAAATGAATAAATCTTCTTTATGTCGGTTGGAACAGAGCTATAAGAATCCAATCCATTTAATTTTATCTTTTCCCTTTGTCATTTCAAGTATATTAGACAAAGATGAAAATATGTTCCAAATTTGAATCCATCTGTTTTCTTTATCGTTTCAAATGCATTAGACAAGGATGAATATACATATTATTTGTATAATTTTGTCTTTTCTCTTTGTCGTTTCAAATGCATTAGACAAAGATGGAAATATTTCGAAACTCATTTTTTTGATGATCAAAGTAGGCTTTAGAAAATTGTCATTCTTTGTCATTTTAAACGCATTAGACAGAGATGATTTTTTTTTTCTTTATTGTTTCAAGCGTGCTAGACAAAGACGAATAGTAAATAACGGATTTGCTTATTTCTTCAAAAACATCAAAGCGGGCTTTAAATATTTTAAATTTAATGTCATATTTTCTCTCTATTATTTCAAACGCATTAGACAAGGATAAATGATAAATACTTATATTCCATAAACATATTTTTCTCAAAATCGATTCTATTTGCGTTTGCTAGAAAGAGATAAATATATTTCATAAACTTCAGTGGCGGCTCGTCAGAGGAGGCAGGGGAGGCTTAACCTCTCCCAAAAAATTGAAAATTCAATCTCAATTTTTTATTCCTGATTTCTAATTACACAACAGAATTCCAATTTTCGATACTCAGTAATACCGGCCCGAAGGGCCGGAGTTATTTGCGAGCCCGAAGGGCCGGAGTTATATGCGAGCCCGAAGGGCCGGAGTTATATGCGAGCCCGAAGGGCCGGAGTTATATGCGAGCCCGAAGGGCCGGAGTTATATGCGAGCCCGAAGGGCCGGAGTTATATGCGAGCCCGAAGGGCCGGAGTTATATGCGAGCCCGAAGGGCCGGAGTTATATGCGAGCCCGAAGGGCCGGAGTTATATGCGAGCCCGAAGGGCCGGAGTTATATGCGAGCCCGAAGGGCTAGAGTTATTTTAATCACGGGGCCTAGTTTATAATTCTATTGGTCAGCGGATAATTTAGAGCTAATTAAAAACCGGGGGTATTTAAAATATGATTTTTAGCGTCCGATCAAAGAGTCGGGAATATTCAAAAACTTTAGTTTTATCAAATTGGCTTTGGAATGTTGGTTTTCTTAAGATTTTTACTTTTTTCAGAAAACGGTGGTTTTTGCAAACATATACTACTTTATCATTGTCTTTGTCTCATTCACTATAATCAATAAGGAAACCTTGTAATGAAATTTTCATTAAAATTAAACTAAAAACAAGTTTCCTATGATTTCTTTGGGGAATTTTAATTATTATAATTAATATTAATTAATTAATATTAATTAATTATTAAATTGAATTTTAAACAAAAAACCCTTTTAAAATGTTATTTTTGTTTTCCGAAATGAGATTTGGCAACGTTGCTTTTAGTTGACCATTTTGAACTGATGCCTTGTAATTTTTTGCCAGTTTTTCCTCGAATTTTTCACTTTTCCGGGGCTTTTCAATGGAAAAAGGCAATTTAACATACGAGGCTTTGAGTTTTCTTCATTTTCTAGCAAAAATGTCCAGTTTTAAAATGACATAAATTAAAAATCCCATTTAAAATGGTTTTTTTAAAAGTTTTGATGTGGCAACACCGTTTGTACCAACTTCAAATAGGTTTTGTAATAAACGTCATTTGTCAGTTTTGACAGTCGGCAATTTTTAATTGACGTGTTCACATTTCTATTCAGTTTTTCCTCGAATTTTCCGCTTTTCCAAGCCGTTTTCAGTCAAGAAAACCGATTTGAAATACGAGGCTTTGAATTTCCTACATTTTGTATTAAAAATTCCCAGTTTTCTAATGGGGTAAGTGACAAAAACTCAAATTTCATTAAGTAGGCTTTGGAATGTCATTTTTATAGGTGTTTTTTTTTAAAATTTGTCCGCTTTTCCAGGGCTTTTCTGGTCGGAAAACCCGATTTAAAGTACGAGGCTTTGAGTTTTCTTCATTTTCCACCAAAAATTTCCAGTGTTTTAACGGAGTAAGTGAGAAAAACTTTAGTTTTATCAAGTAGGTTTTAGAATGTCATTTTTGTTGGTTATTTTTTGGAATTTTTATTTAAGGTTTTTGGGTCCGGGGATCGTTTTCTATCACTTTTTTTCTCGAAATTTGCAAAATGAAAAAAAAAACTTTTTTGACGTTGACAGCTGTCAATTTTTTTTGACACAAATCGATAGTTAGCGTCGCGAAACTGCCTTGTACCGGGATTTGATTTTCGTAGCTTTTATAGTAGAGCGGAGAAAAAGTAGAACATGTGTCAAATTTGACAGATGACATTTGTCGATATTGTTAAAGTGTCGTGCGACAAAAGTTTGATCCGAACGAACCCGTTCTGTGTTAACTGATTTTTCATACTCCGGCCCTTCGGGCCGTAATCTTTGAAACAAAAAGACGTCATTTTGTATCGATTGTCAAAAAAACTCAAGGTTTGAAATTTCAATTTTTTGACGTTTGTTGTATCATGAGCAGCGTTGCCATATGTTTTTATCAAATCTCGATTTATAGGTTATTTTAAACCCAATCATTGACATTTTTGAAATATATTTCCTTTAAAATTCCCAAATATCCTTTGGAATCCCCAAAAATGTATTAAAATTTCAGAATTCCATAATTTAGTGGAATTTTGGTAGAATAATTATGTTATTCTGAAAAAAGAATTAGATGTGACATTTTTGCGCAGTTTTCATAGTATTCACATTAAATTTTAATTCCTCTCGAATTACTTGAAATTTCAGTGAAATTCCGATCGAATTACACGAAATCCTAAATGAATTACATGGAGGAATTTTAAACAATTACATGAAATTACACCGAAATTCCCAACGTGAAATTTCAGTTTTTACTGAATTTTAGTAATGCCGAGGAATTTCCAGCTAAAAACATGGAATTTCGGTGATATTCCGAAAAATTACCACGTAATAACATGAAATTTCAATATATTTGGATGAATTTTTAAGAAATTACTTGAAACTTCATTAATATTCCCAGAAATTCCTGACTATTAAAAGAGAATCACTGAAAAATTCTTATGTAAATAAATTAAATTTTGAAAATTCCTTGAAGTTTCATTGGACTTCCGAGAAATTTTCGGTTATGAACGTGGATATTCTCATAAAATTTTAGTGAATTCCGAGAAATTTTTAAGAAATTACATGAAATTCCAAAGAATTTTATGAAAATTTTGTGAAATTCCAGTGGTAAAATTTTGAGAAATTTTAGTAAAGTTAAAAAAAAAATATGGAATTTTGAAATTGAAATTTTAATGGAATTTTGAGGAATTTCATGAAATCCTATACTGTAATTAGCCTCCTCACTTGAAATAGTCACGAGCCGCCATTGATAAACTTTAAGGCATTGTTGGAAAGTCAATAATCCTCGTTGGATTCAAAAAAATATAGTTCCAACGAGCTTAAATGAATTTTTTTAAAAATTGTAACTCGTTGAAACGTTATAATAACTTGGTAAAACACCAAAAAAAAAAAAATTCAACTCAATGAGTTTCAACTTTAACTTTCATGATAATATTAATCCAACGAGTTTTCTCATTTGGACATTTGCTGAAACGTCATAAAATCTCTTAATAAAGCAAAAAGATTAATATTGTTTCAACGAGTTTTGAAACAATTTTTTCTGTCTTGTTGGGAGCCAAATAACTGAAGCCAACGAGTTCAAACAGCATTTTTTCTGTTTTTGTACTTTCATTGTCTCGAAATCTTCTGATAAATTTTAGTACGTTCCTGTTAAAATTGGTACCCCTATAACGAATCTCTACCTGTTTTCCGAGAGTACCAATAACGATACGGTTCCGCCTCGCCTCAAAATGCTGCACGAACATAATCTCGGCTCTCGTCTTTGGCTTTGTCCTCGTTTCGTGACTCGACGAAAAATTAATCAAAATATTTATGTATTAACAAATAAAATCACTTAAATTTTGTTTATTTCGGTCCTGGGTTTGAAGTACCAAACACGCAACGAGGACCCAATTTTCTTCTCGGTAAATCATTATGATGATGATGATGATGGTTTGTTTTTTTTTTGTCTAGAGTGCCTCAGGCTTTTAACGAACTTCTTTGTCCATTAGTAAAAACTGTATTTGTTGCATTATTGTCCTTATCAGCCAGAATAAAGTATAAAGTTTCTCAGTTGGCTTGTATTTAATTTCATCATAATGCTGACAAAAAGGTTTTTAAATTCAAACAAGGCTTCATTGTTCATACAGTGTATATTTAAATATAGAAAAAATACAATTAAGTATATAATGTGACTAGAAAACTAAATTGAAACAAAATAATTGAGATCCTCAATAATTGTCATTTGTTGTAACTTAAATCTATAAAATGTCAATGGAATGCCTTAACAAAATTGATACAAAATACTCGAGATTCACTTATATGGCGTTTCCGATTGGTAGATCTAGTGCGGAACTAGTGCAGTTTTTTCTATTTCTGTCTTTTTCTTCTACAGGTCGTTTAAAAGGATGCAAATACACTCAATGCGCACTGAATCTACCAATCGAAAACGCCATTAGTTTTCTATAAATGTGGCAAAGTTACTCATTAATTTCTGACAATTCAGAGAGTATTGCTGCATTTACATTCACTTCGAAGTCCAATTTGTCTCAAAATTGACATGCTTGCTTGTCGAGGGCAAGCAAAAATTTGTGAAATGTCAAATTTTCATTGATTATCCATCATGATTCTCATAAAATTCTGACGTTTAGACATGACGTTTCTGTTCTGCTAGGGGATTCCTATGGCTGGGTTCGTTTATTGCATCTGCGAGCAAAATTTAACAGATGTCACGTGAAAAAAAGATAATTGATTACGCAACTAATCGAACGCGAATGAGCGTGCATTGAACACACTTTTTAAATAAACGTGATTTTTTTAAAATAATGATGTTTTGTAAAGTAAAACTTTACAAACAATTTTTTCACTCAATAGAAAATAACGAAAACTTAAAGCCTCGTACTTTAAATTAGTTTTCCCGGCCTAGAAAAGCGGAAAATCAAAAGAAAAACCAGCCAAAATAACATTCCAAAGCCTACTTGAGTTTTCATTGCTTACCCCCTTGTAAAACTAGAAGATTTTTGCGGAAAATAAAGGAAATTCGAAGCCTTGTATTTTAAACCAGTTTTCCCGGCTGGAAATGGCCTGAAAAAGCGGAAAATTCGAGGAAAAACTAGATAGAATGTAAACACGTCAATTAAAAAATAACCAACTGTCAAAAGAAAAGTGTCAAATGACATTTCATTACAAGGCCTACTTAATTAAAAGCCACATTGCCACATTTCAAGTAGGAAAAAATTACATTTTAAATGGTTTTTTGTTAAATAATTAATTAATAATGTTTAATTAAATTATGGAAAATTGGAAAATTCAACGAAAAGCCGGTAATGAAACAAAAAATAAAAGCTTGTAAACTATTTTGAAACGCTAGTGGAGCTTCACTCATTTGTCACGAGATGGCGTTGCAATCGCGTTTGGGTAATTTTGACACTTTTGACAGTCGGCCATTGTAAATGAAGATTGGCCAACGCGTTTTTATTTCAACCTCCAGTTTTCAATAGGAAAAAGTACTCGCGTACGGAAAAGTGTCGCGGTTCGAATTCAGTGTTTAATTTGCCGGGAAAACTGAATTTCCGAGCGGGGGCCACAGTTTTAGGGGTGAGTATAGTCTATAGTAATTTTATGTTAGAATAACGCCATTAATCAAATAGGCCGGTAATACAGGTCCCTGTTCTCAACCGATTTTGATTAAATTAGGCTCAAATTGACTTGTAATGTAAATGATAATATATCATAAGGTCAAATTTAACTTGAAGTTAGAAGTGAATGTAAATGCTCCCTAATTAATTGACAACTAGGCCCGTTTTCAGTGTTGCCAGATGCCTTAATTTTCTTCAAGAAATTCGTCATCGTTCTGCAAGCGAACATGTTGCAGCTCTTTTTGAAGATCGATTAGTTGTTTTCTCATCCGGATCACTTTGGAACGTAAGTCCTTGTCGTTCTGGATCAGTTGCTGAATCTTTTGCGTCGCTCTTCTTTGTTGCTTTTGGTCTACCACCCATCTAAAAAGAAGTTGACAAAAGTTTAACCCTTGATTGACCTAGGACAGATTTATCAGTGGACGGTTATTTATTTTAGCTATTGGTTAACTAATGATTATCACTGGTTAACCGATAGCTAAACTAGATAACTATCCACTGATAAACCGGTCCTCAAAATCAAACAAGAATTAATTGACTTCAGTTTGACAGGTTTTAGCTGAATTGACATCGATTATGGTTTTAATTGAAACAATTTTAAATGTCCCGCCAGAAACACCCTGTCAAAAATATTTAAATTTTACATGGCCTACTAGAGGTTATTGCCAACTCTAAAATTTTAGATATTTGACAAATCAAATTTCGATGTCGCCAACTGAAAAAAAAAAATACTTATATTTTATATGGCCTACTAAGATCATGTGACTTATTAAGATTCAATATTGTCAACTGTAAAATTTTAGTATGTATCAAAATCATGTCAATCAGGGTTGCCAATTTTGAAGTTGTACAATTTAGGATCCTTATTTTTTTGTCTCATTGTGTTGGTTGGGGTCATGAAAGAAATTTTACATGGACTTCTGAGTTTCAGCAACTTTCCAGTACTGCCAACCGAACAATGGGTAATTTGATTTTTTTTCTATTCCCGGCTCTTGAATTTTTCTAAGTTCAAAAGCCTGAAATAGAGAAAACGTGTGAAAAATGAAAATGACTGAAATGAAGCGTTACTAGAATTTTGTTGGCAACAGTGTTTTATCTATACCATGAACTGTCCAAAAAAATATTTAAATTTTACACGGCTTCTAGAGGTTATTGCCAACTGTCAAATTTTAGATATTTGACAAGTCAAACGAAAAAAAAAAACCTAAATTTTATATAACCTACTAAGATGATGTGACTTATTGAGATTCAGTGTTGCCAACTGTAAAATTTTACTATGTACCAAAATCATGTCAATCAGGGTTGCCAATTTTGAAGTTGTACAATTGAAGATCCTTATTTTTTGTTTCATTGTGATGGTTGGGATCATAAAAGAAATTCTACATGGACTTTTGAATTTCAGTAATTTTTCAGTGCTGCCAACCAAACAGTGGGTTATTTGATTTTTTTTACTCGGCTTTCTGAGTTTCAACGATTTTCCAATGTTGCCAACTGAACAATGGGTTATTTAATTTTTTCTCTATTCCCGGCTCTTGGATGTTTCTCCTTCTTCAAATTTTTCTAAATTCAAGAGCCTGGAATAGAAAAAAAATTGTGAAAAATGAAAGTGAACTAAATTTCTCGCTTGACAGCTAAAATGCCTACGTCACATCAAAAACATTTTAGCGGAAAAGTAGGGAGTTACTATAACGTTGTTGGTGTTGGCAACAGTGTATGATTTGTCAAAAAAAAAATGACGTCATGTTTGATATTTTGACGAATAATGACATTATTTTGAAGGAAATATATAAATTGTATTGACATTAGGACCCAGGGGGACTTTAAGCAAAATTAAGGAAAATTAACCCTTTTACATTTTATTTTTTTTCTGGAAAACTGGCAAAGGGAAAACTTTGAAAATTTTCCATTATAGGGAAATTTCGAAATTTTCCCAGTGGAAAATCATTTCAGGACAAATTTTGGAAAATTGACTTTTTCAAGTAAAATTAAGGCAAAGTCACCCTCTTATATTTCAATTTTTTTCTGGAAAACTGACAAAGGGAAAATTTTGACAATTTTCCAGGAAAAAGAGAAAAGTGAGGAGTTCATTATAGGATAATTTCAAAATTTTCCAGTGGAAAATCACTCCAGGACAAATTTTGGGAAAATTTTCCAGGAAAAAGAGAAAAAGTGAGGAGCTCATCTTCTTACATTTCAATTTTTTCCTGGAAAACTGACAAAGGGAAAATTTTGACAATTTTCCAGGAAAAAGAGAAAAGTGAGGAGTTCATTATAGGATAATTTCAAAATTTTCCAGTGGAAAATCACTCCAGGACAAATTTTGGGAAAATTTTCCAGGAAAAAGAGAAAAAGTGAGGAGCTCATCTTCTTACATTTCAATTTTTTCCTGGAAAACTGACAAAGGGAAAATTTTGACAATTTTCCAGGAAAAAGAGAAAAGTGAGGAGTTCATTATAGGATAATTTCAAAATTTTCCAGTGGAAAATCACTTCAGGACAAATTTTGGAAAATTGACTTTTTCAAGTAAAATTAAGGCAAAGTCACCCTCTTATATTTCAATTTTTTTCTGGAAAACTGACAAAGGGAAAATTTTGACAATTTTCCAGGAAAAAGAGAAAAGTGAGGAGTTCATTATAGGATAATTTCAAAATTTTCCAGTGGAAAATCACTCCAGGACAAATTTTGGGAAAATTTTCCAGGAAAAAGAGAAAAAGTGAGGAGCTCATCTTCTTACATTTCAATTTTTTCCTGGAAAACTGACAAAGGGAAAATTTTGACAATTTTCCAGGAAAAAGAGAAAAGTGAGGAGTTCATTATAGGATAATTTCAAAATTTTCCAGTGGAAAATCACTTCAGGACAAATTTTGGGAAAATTTTCCAGGAAAAAGAGAAAAAGTGAGGAGCTCATCTTCTTACATTTCAATTTTTTCCTGGAAAACTGACAAAGGGAAAATTTTGACAATTTTCCAGGAAAAAGAGAAAAGTGAGGAGTTCATTATAGGATAATTTCAAAATTTTCCAGTGGAAAATCACTTCAGGACAAATTTTGGGAAAATTTTCCAGGAAAAAGAGAAAAAGTGAGGAGCTCATCTTCTTACATTTCAATTTTTTCCTGGAAAACTGACAAAGGGAAAATTTTGACAATTTTCCAGGAAAAAGAGAAAAGTGAGGAGTTCATTATAGGATAATTTCAAAATTTTCCAGTGGAAAATCACTTCAGGACAAATTTTGGAAAATTGACTTTTTCAAGTAAAATTAAGGCAAAGTCACCCTCTTATATTTCAATTTTTTTCTGGAAAACTGACAAAGGGAAAATTTTGACAATTTTCCAGGAAAAAGAGAAAAGTGAGGAGTTCATTATAGGATAATTTCAAAATTTTCCAGTGGAAAATCACTCCAGGACAAATTTTGGGAAAATTTTCCAGGAAAAAGAGAAAAAGTGAGGAGCTCATCTTCTTACATTTCAATTTTTTCCTGGAAAACTGACAAAGGGAAAATTTTGACAATTTTCCAGGAAAAAGAGAAAAGTGAGGAGTTCATTATAGGATAATTTCAAAATTTTCCAGTGGAAAATCACTTCAGGACAAATTTTGGGAAAATTTTCCAGGAAAAAGAGAAAAAGTGAGGAGCTCATCTTCTTACATTTCAATTTTTTCCTGGAAAACTGACAAAGGGAAAATTTTGACAATTTTCCAGGAAAAAGAGAAAAGTGAGGAGTTCATTATAGGATAATTTCAAAATTTTCCAGTGGAAAATCACTCCAGGTCAAATTTTGGGAAAATTTTCCAGGAAAAAGAGAAAAAGTGAGGAGCTCATCTTCTTACATTTCAATTTTTTCCTGGAAAACTGACAAAGGGAAAATTTTGACAATTTTCCAGGAAAAAGAGAAAAGTGAGGAGTTCATTATAGGATAATTTCAAAATTTTCCAGTGGAAAATCACTCCAGGTCAAATTTTGGGAAAATTTTCCAGGAAAAAGAGAAAAAGTGAGGAGCTCATCTTCTTACATTTCAATTTTTTTCTGGAAAACTGACAAAGGGAAAATTTTGACAATTTTCCAGGAAAAAGAGAAAAGTGAGGAGTTCATTATAGGATAATTTCAAAATTTTCCAGTGGAAAATCACTTCAGGACAAATTTTGGAAAATTGACTTTTTCAAGTAAAATTAAGGCAAAGTCACCCTCTTATATTTCAATTTTTTTCTGGAAAACTGACAAAGGGAAAATTTTGACAATTTTCCAGGAAAAAGAAAAAAGTGAGGAGATCATTATATAAAAAAAATCAAAATTTTCCAATGAAAAATCACTCCAGGAAAAATTCTAGAAAATTGACTTATTTAAGAGAAAATCAATTTTAGTACTTGTTGATTTTCAGTGTTGACAATTGACATGTCAAGCTTCAATGTCGCCAACTGACATAAAGTAACGCTGTAATTTCACATGGCCTACTGAGATATGTGAGTTATTGAGTTTCAGTGTTGCCAACTGTAAAATTTCGGTTTCATGGTCTACTAGGAGTGTATTCGATTTCCAAACCTGGTTAACCGGTCGGTTGACAGTTGTCAATTTGAAATGCTTTTCCAATCACGGAGAAGTGACTTTGACACTGATAGTTGAGTTGAATCAGGTAGGAACAAAAAAATGAATAACAGTTACTGGAAAACCGACTAGCGATTGTCTCGGTGACATGTTTGACATAACATTTTCGAAAACGGGTTTCGTATAGACATACTCATAACCGCGAAATTCGCTTTTTCTTGACATTGCTTCGACAATTTGACGTTTGATTCACGCATAACACGTCATATTTTCGAAGCAATGTCAAAAAAGAGCGAATTTCGCAGTTATGAGTACTAGGCTTAACCCAGGTTGAAAATGGAATTCACTCTACAGAATTTTTAACTTGTTGATTTTCAGTGTTGTCAATTATTGTAAATACTTAATTGGTACCAGGATATTTGGCTTCAGGGTCACGTCAACTGAAAACAAGTCATTTAAATTCTACATGGCCCACTAAGATATACATATAATTTGTCGTGTTCCAGTGTTGCCAACTGAAACAAAAGTATTCAAATTTTATTTGGCCTACTAGGACATGGGACTTATTGAATTTCATTGTTGTCAAGCCTCGATTTTGACATACGACGCAACAGCAAACGAGGAAATAAGGAAAATTCTTCGATTTTGATGTGACATTGACTTTTCATTTTTTGGTAAAAAATTGTCTTCGAAAACAATGTTTTTTCGTATCAAATTTTGTTTATTCCTGGCTCTTGACTTGGTCTTGTCTTTCAAATTCCTCTAAGGCCCGGTTTAATCTTTTCTAGATAAACCTCCTGGTAACTATCTGCAAGATAAATCTACCAATCTATAATCTTATTGGTCAGCGGATAACTTGTCGACCAATAATTAGACAATTCGAATTAGCTGTTAATTCAATATGGCAATGTGGGCATAACATATTTGACAATTATGAAGGTACTTTTACATTCAATTGCAATTTGAATGGGAATTTAATGTAAACGTACCTTCACGGTTGTTGAGTTTGCGGCGCCATATTGAATTGACAAAACGTCAAATTGACTTATGGGATTATAAATCACAAAAAGTTAAAAAGTTGTCTGGTAATGGGTAACTTGATGACGCATTTGAGGACTGAAGTGCCTAATAGTTTGCATTATGTCGAAGCACCCCGATGACGTCATAAAGTTATTAGGCAATCTGCCTCTCTTAAACAACCTCAATTACAGATTGCATTTCTATCCTGACCTGTTAGTTTATCAGAAAGTGAATAAAACTGCCGTAAATAAACAAAATTCAAGAGCCTGGAATAGAAAAAACATGCGTGAAAATTCAAAGTCCATGTGGGAAATCGGGGAGCTACGAAAATATTGTTGGCAACAGTGCATGTAGTTGTCATAACTGTCAACAAAAAGTGTCATACAACCGTTTTCAAATTTATTCTTCAACAATTTATAAATGAATACAAATAGCAGAACTTTCCAAGTTGATTGCGTAAATTTTTCAAATGTGGTTGACATCTGACATTGTTGACAGTCTATAGTAGGCGGAAATAAATTTTAAATGAGTTAGACGAGTGACTGCTGTCAGAAATTTCAACGGTTATTTTCTGAACTAACATGGTTTCAAGAAATCTAACTCCATTATCGCCAGCCAACTGAAAGATAATTATGTGAATTTTACATGGCCTACTATGATAATATAACTTAGTCAGTTTCAGTGTTGCCAAATCTCGATTTTCGCATATAGAACGCAAAGGAAACTTGAAAATTTCCACTTTTTGCTTAAAATACAACAATTCAAGAGCCTGGAATAAATAAAACATGTGTGGAAAATGAAAATCTCTACTCCACGCGGAGAATCGGGGAGCTATCAAAATATTGTTGGCAACAGTGTACGAGTTTTCAAAACTCTCATTAAAAAGAATCAATCAACCGTTTTTAAGTTTACTTTTGCAAAATTAAGTTGGTTGCATGATTTAGTTGACATCTGACACTGTTGACAGTCTAGTAGGCGGTAATTAATTTTAAAAGAGTGACAACTGTCAGAAATTTTAACGGTAATTTTCCGAAATAATCTACTACCAAGAAATTCAACAAATTTTCAGTACCAAAATTTCAGTGTCGTTAACCGTCATAATGTAAATTAAATTTTACATGGCCTACTATTACATGGAGTTTATTGAATTTCGGCGTTGCCAAGTCTCGAAGAATACTTGAAAATGTTAAAATGCAAAAATTCAAGAGCCTGGAATAAAAAAAACACGAATATTGTCGGCAACAGCGTGAAAAATATTATATAACCGTCAACAACTACAAAAAAAGTGAGGTTATGTTTCATAGCTTCACATAAGAAAAGCTACAATGTTGCCAAACTGCCTCAAAATTCACACTCAATCAATAAATCAGCTCTCACCTTAAATACAAATCGCTCCAGAGTACCAAACTGACCGGAGCGATGCTCGGCCAAATGGCTGCCTTATTAGGCTCGTACATCGGATTCAAAAAGTTCGTAATCACATCGGGCCTGTTCAAGTACGACCAAAAACTCGTCGTATTTTCCGCTAACTTCATTTCCCTCCTCTCACACTCGTTATTGCCGATAAAAGTACCAAAATTACTGTAGTAGGAGTTTTCGAAAATCACTATCAACATCCGAGTAGTGAATTCGAAACTGTACGGAAACTGATAGTGCAACTGATGAACGCAGTCCAAAAACAGCAAAAATGTAGGCTGCAGGTTTTTGTTTTTTGAGCTTGAGTAGCAAAATTTCGCATGCCTCGTTTGAAAAGGGTGACCGGCCTGTAAAAATTCCCGTTCGATTAAAGCCTGCAATCCTCGCACTGTCCTACAATCGGGATTTAGTATAACTTGAGCTACCGCTGTTATTAGTAGAGTAGCATCTAAGCCTGATGAGCCATGGACCAGAACCGAAACGCCTTCTTTGTCCAAGCATTGAGCTACCAAACAAGAGCTGCTTAAAACGTTTTGTACATGGGTCAACCAATGGGAGCCTTCTAAACGTGACAACCATTTATCAGTTGAAATGTTTGGGTCGTTGCAAGCTTCAATTAGTTTACTAAAATGTTCCAAAACGCTACCATCGCATTTGACTAGTTTGTCTAAGTTTTTACATATTTTGTTCCATTGGGTATAGTGCCCATCCGGCTCGGTACCACCTCCTTTGCCCTTGCAATGCCCTATTAAATTAGTACTTCGGGTGTCTATTATATAACCTTTTTTATAGGGGCCTAAGACTGCGTCTAGAATTTTCTCGTCGGGTCTAGAGCGTTTGTTGCTGTTGCACAGCAATGGTTGGCTGCTGCGCAAAAGTACTGCGCCGTTTTCGTGTTTGTAGCTCAAAATAGGAAAGCGGCCGCCTTCTCTGAAACTGGCCGCCGATATTAGAGTGTTATCGTCGATATTTTTAGGCACAATCAATGTTTGACTGTAACTTCTACAAACTGAATAGTTTCTATTGACGTGCGACACCCGCCATTCATCAGTGGATAATAATTTTGAAAATTCAGTTTCTGGTTGGAATAATGTATGGCCGTCTTCTAAGATGTTGTACATTGGACGGTAGAAGAAGGGATAAGACAGTTCGGCTCTGTCCAAGTTGGACAGGCGCTCTATTGATATGTAAACGTTTTGGAAATCGTACGAGGTAGGGATGTCCATTTGTAGTTGGCGGAAGTCTTTGCACTTTAGGATTATCGTGCCGCCATTTTGGGCGGGGTTCGATGGCGGTTTTTTTTCTACGGAGTCTATTGCTTGAATTAGGAGCTGAAATTGGAAGAGGATGCAGCATTGGTAACACTTGAGAGATTTGGCAATATGGCTCTGGTATTACATTGAGGGATGTTTTGATTTACTTTTTATGAAAAGAAAATTAGTATTGTTTGGTTTTCCCGATTGGAGCGGAAGTTTTTCCTTTTTTCATCAGGGCGGGGATTACAACACGAATTCTACTTTTATGACGTCAGGTTGCCTCATCGCATGTACTGTACGCAGATGACGTCATGAAAGTAGAATTATACTCGTCGTGATCCCAGTCCTGGACTTGGGAGAATTCATTATTCCTGATCAGGTAAGATATAACTGTCTTTTCTCTAAGAAGAAATATTAAAATACGCCCCTGTAGCATGTCGAATAATCATGGCCTACTTCATTTAGCAACAATTTTTGACAAGAATCATTCAACCATTTTCAAGTTTATCCTTGAAGAAAAATTGTAAATATAAATAGATAACACTCTCCAGGTTAAGCTTGATTGCGTATATGACACTTTAAGTCAAGGATATCAAACTCTAGACAGGATAACCTATCCTCATAAGGCCTGTGTAGAAATCTCACGCCTCCAGTGATGACGTAGACAGTGTGTAATTTCTCGCCTTGACGTCGGGTGTTTGCAAGGATAATACACACTACTAAGGATTGCTTATCGACCTCGTTTTTGGTAATCGCCGCCATATTGGTGTCATACCATTTCCGACATTATAACTAAGTCGTCAGTTGTTTGAACAGCTTGCGTCAAGGCGAGAAATAAAATGTGTGAAAAATGAGAATGAACAAAATTTCTCGGCTGACAGCTAAAATGTGTACGTCACGTCAAAAACATTCTAGTGAAGAAGTGGGGAGTTATTATGTTACTATAGCGTTGTTGGTGTTGGCAACAGTGTATAAATTCTCAAAATAAATGACGTCATGTTTAATATTTAGACGAATGAGGAAACTTATAAATTGTATTGAAAATTTGGGCCCAGAAATGAGTACGGATGGAAGAAAAACTCCATTTTGATACTTATTGATAGTCAGTGTTGACATATGTCAAGCTTCACTGACGCCAACTGAAAGAAAAAAATGTTGCTGCAATTCTACATCGCCTACTAAGATATTATGTGAATTATTGAGTTTCAGTGTTACTAACTATAAAATTTTTGAAACGTAAACTTCAGTATCAACAACAGAAGGAAAATTATTAAAATTTTACATGTAATTTATCGAGTATTAGTATTGCCAATTGTAAAATTTTTGTGTGTACCAAAATGTCAACTTCCAGTGTTGCCAATTTTGAAATTTTATAATTCATTTGACTGGGATCATTTAAAACAAATTTTACTCGGTCTTTTGAGTTTCAGTGATTTTCCAATATTACCAACCGAACAATGGGTTATTTAATTTTTTTTCTATTCCCGGCTCTTGAATTTTTCTTTAACTTCAAGAGCATAACTAAGTCATCAACTGTTTAAACAGCCTACGTCAAGACGAGAAATAATATGTTGCCTACGTCACAACTGGTATTTTGGCGTGGGGGGATTTGTTACACACAGGCCTTATGAGGATAGGCTATCCTGTAGTAGTTGCTGTGGCAGTAGTGTATATCATCCTTCGGGTGTTTGCACTCTTAGATGACGTCGGCAACAATGCAACACCATATGACCTTGATTCCACAAATCGAGGCTGATGAACAATCCTGTAGTAGCGTATAATATCCTTGAATTTATGAAACGAAAACGGAAGTTGGAACAAACGATATAGATTAAGAAATTGACACTTGAAAGTGACATTTCCAATATGGCGGCAAAGTTTCACTTCTACTGAGCGTGGTGGTGAATTTAAAGATTCAAATTATTCCCGGCTCTCGATTTGAGTTCAAGAGCCGGGAATAATTAAAATTTGAAATATCTACTGTGTTGCATTCACTGAAATATCAGAATAGGAAAAATATTGATATTGAGAAAATTTGTGAATTGCTATTATTGACATTTGAAAACGTGGCAACGCTGCAGGAAATTCCGTTGGCAGCCATGAACTAAAGTAAACTGTCAAAAATTAACACCTTTATTTATCCTAATTAACAACTGTGTGAGTACTAAGTCTTCATTTTCTATTTTAAAAGTCCCGCCAAAAACATTTTAGTAGAGAATCGGAATGTTACTAGAATGCTGTTGGCAACATTAACATTGTATTATTTTGACAGTTCATACCAGACCTGTCAAAAAAAAAATCATGTTTTATTTCATCATACATTTCTTAACTGTGAATTCAGTTTTAATTATTCATATCTGTCAAACTCAAAATTCAAAATGGCGTGGCGGCCAGAACAATTCCTATTGTATATGTGTTTTTCATCCGTAGGTATTTCAGTTATTTTGCTTGCGAATTTCATTATTAATAAACTATTTGTTGATTGTTTAAATTTTTTCCAATATCAAGTATTTGTATACCCAAAATAATATTAAAAAATTTCTCCGAGAAAACAATTTACAACATCTGGCAACATTGCAACTATCTGTCAAAACTGTTAGCTGTTGGCTGCAATAGGACGTTCCTCGTGTTTGGCCGTCACGCCATCTTGAATAGTCACGTGGTTTCGATTGCCTAATTGTTTGTTTTGAAAGAAACTTGCTAAACCTTAAAAGAAAGGTATTTAAATTTCACATGGCCTACTAGAGGTGACCTATTGATTAGCAGTGTTGCCAACTGAAAAATTTTGGTACCTAAATATTGGATACTTCAGTGGCGCCAGTTATTTTACATGGCCTACTAGGATATATTATTTATTGATTTTCGGTGTTGCCAACTGTAAAATTTTAGGACCAAAAGTTAAACTTCAGAGTTGTCAACTGCAAGAAAATTTATTTCTTTTTATCTTATTGACTCTAATGGCGAATTATGGAAATATTATAAAATATTTAAGGTTAGGCACATGAATAACACACTTAAAATGGATCGTCTTCAACTAAAAACTAAGAAAAAAGGAGGTGCATGCTTTTAGAAAAAGATGCGAATACACTCAGTGCGCGCGCACTGATTGACAAATGAAAATCGTTATAAGAAAAAACAGGTAAGAATTTAACAGATAATCCTCAATTTATACAATAAGGCGATTTGACGTTCTGTCGATTTAATATGGCGCCGTGGGCATAACAAACTTGACAACCGTAAAAGTATGTTTACATTCAATTGGAATTGAATTTAAAGGTCACTAAACTTGTTATGCCCACGTTGCCATTTTGAATTATCAACTGGTTCGAATTGCCTAATTAACCAAACCCAACGAACTTGAGGTTATGAGAAAGACAAGTAAAGTAAAATTTTAGTGCCAAAGTATTTGACACGTTAAACTTTAGAGTCGGCAACTGCAAAAGATTTAGTTGAATTTTTTCAAGGCCTACTAGGATATGTAATTTATTAAATTTCAGTGTTGCCAATTGTACCAAAACATTAGCCATGTCAACCTTCAGTGCGCCAACTGCAAAAAAATTATTTAAATTTTACATGGTCTGCAAGCAAAATTGTTTGAAAGAGGCAGGTTGCCTGATAACTTTTATGACGTCATCTTATCAGACGATCTATTAACTTTTTGAGTCTTCGTTTACAAGAGAAGAAGTAACTTATTAGGTTTCAGTGTTGCCAGCTGTGAAATTTTAGTACCAAAATATTTGACAATTTAGAATTGCCAACTGTAAAAAATTTATTTCAATTTTTCTACGGCCTACTAGGATGTGTAATCTATTAAGTTTCAGTGTTGCCAATTATTGTAAATTTTCGGTATCAAGATATTTGACATGTCAAGCTTCAGTGTTAGCTAATTGATAGCAAGTTCTTGAAACTTTACGTGTCCAACTGTTATGTAAGTTATTGAACTGCGGTGTTGTCAATAATTGTAAATTTTTAGTTCCAAATATCGCCAATTTTATGTGGCCTACTATCAGTGTTGCCAACAAGACATTGTTACCAATTTTTTCTCTTCTAGATTGCCAATCGAATTGGTGCAAATTAAAAAAAAGTTAATATTGATAAAATTAGGCAATTTGACGTTCTGTCAATTTCTTTATATTCAATATGGCGCTGTGGGCATAACAAACTTGACGACCATAACTGGAATTACTTGATAATTGAACGACTGGCCGTTTGCAATAATTGGAATTGAAGTTGAAAGAGTGCCTCAATGTTGCGTTCATTTTTTCAAAAAATAAACGTTGGAAAATTTTGAAAATTTGGCAACATAGCAATGTTGATGGGAAGTTTTGATGTCAATTCACCTATTTTAAATAGGGCAATATAACGGTCGGTTTATTCAATATGGCGCCATGGGCATAACAAAAAGGTACATTTACATTCAAATTGCAATCAATTGGAATTTTATGTAAACACACCTTGACAGTTATCAAGTTTGGTATGGCCACAGCTGCCATCTTGAATTATCAGCTGCTGATTCGAATTGCCTAATTTATTCGATTAGCCAAACCTAATGAATTCAAGTTTATGGGAGAGAAAGTGAAGGAAAATTTTAGTACAAAAATATTTGAAACGTCAAACTTCATAGTCGCCAAGTGTCGCCAACAGAAAGTTATTTTACATAGCCTACTAAGATATGTAATTTATTGAGTTTCAGCGTTGCCAACTGTAAAATTCAAGTATGTATCGAAATATTAACCCTGTCAAGTGTTCAATGTTGCCAACTGCAAGGAATTTATTTAATTTGTTCGTGGCCTACTTAATGAGTATCAGTGTTGCCAAATTTAAATTCTCGGTAGCATGATATTTGACACGGCGAAATGTCAGAATAGCGATTCTATTTTTCGATACGTATCACGTGTATACGTCCGAAGCTATGGTATTCGATATCGAGTGTCATAATAGACAATTTGACTCGACTCGTAATCTGGGCCAAAGCCTGTATTCAAATTGAATATTGCATGGCCTACTAAGATATATGCATGATAAAGTTTCAGTGTTGCCAACTGTAAAACTTTAGCACCAAAATATTAGCCATGTCAATTTTCAGTGTTGCCAACTGCAAGAAGTTTTGTATGGCCTACTAGAATAATGAACTTATTGAATTATAGTGTTGCCAACTTCAAATTTTAACTTGATATTTGACGTAGCACTTATAGAAAATATGGCAACAGCATTAAAAAAAACAACCAACATATTCAACATTTCCGTTGTCAAGTTACTATTTTTCTCCTCATTTTGACTAAAAATGGGATTCGTTTTATTTCTACCATTGCAATGTTGCCAGACTTTATTTCCAGGCGAATGAAAAAAACAGTGTTGCTAAAGGAATTTTACAAGTCAAGAGAAAATTCTAAAAAAAATATGTTTAGATTCCAAGATATTTGACACGTTCAAATTCAGTGTTGCCAACTGTGAAATTTTAGAATCAAAATATTAGCCATGTCCACCTTCATTGTTGCCAACTGCAAGGAAATTATTTGAAATTACCATGGCCTACTAGGATATGTAACTTACTTAATTTAAATCCGTAGTTAGACTTAAATGAAAACCAATTGAATTTGCTGCATAGTTTTCAAGAGCCGGGAATAATCAAAATTTGAAATTTAGCGCCATTTATATTTCAATAGTGATGCTGTCAAACGTACTCAGATGTCAAAAATATCGACAAAAGTGAGCTGGCAACGTTGCATAAGTAATGCCAATGTTCAAAATGTTTCTTACAAGTCAAAAAAATTTTTTTAGCAAAAAGATGTCCAAAACCTGTATACAAAGTGTCGCCAACAGAAGAAAAATTATTTAAATTTTATACGGCCTACTAAGATATATGATTTATTGAGTTTCAGTGTTTTCAACTGTAACAAAATATTAGCCATTGTTGCCAATTGTAAGAAACATTCTTTTAAATTTTTTCATGGCCTACTAAGATACTATGTTATTTATTGTATTTCAATGTTGCCAACTGCAACATCCCTCAAAATGTACCAGAACTATGACTAAAACATGTATACAAATTTATCAATTACAACAAAGTAGAAAAGGAGTTTTCATTGTTACTTGCCCACAATTCTTGTACGTTTTCTTTCCTCGTCGATAAAATTAAATGGTGTCCGGTTATGCACAAGGTGCCGTCGATAGGGTCGTGAAAGGGCGAGTGCAAAACGACCCCATCTAACTTAGGGGTCGTTATTAACTCGGCAAATTCCATCAAAAAAATTTGTGGTTTTATTATTTTGAGGTTATGATGGATGGGGTTTTTTGTTTATAAATCCTTGTCGAAAAACAGAGGAAACAACTAGCGCCATCTTGCATAATTCAATGTAACTTGTAATATATTTTTTTCAATTATATTATAAGGCTTGAAAGTTATTGTTTTTATGCTTCAAAATGTTCAATTAAGGGGATTAAGAGATTGTTTTGTAATAATTGAATAAATGTGACGTTTGTTTTAATTTGTTGCAAAAATACCTATTACAGGAATCTGCTTTTGTTGCCGCCATCTTGTTACAAATTAGGCGAATCTAGGATTTTTGAAAAAAAAGCTTACTTTTAAGACACAATTAATTATTTTATTAATAAATTATTGTCACATTTAAGCTAAATAACAAATAAAATAAACTATATAAACAATTACAAACATGGAAGACATTTTTTTTTTTTTTGTAATAATTCTTAGATCTCAACTACAGTTGCCCTGTGTACAATTTTCGGGTTCAAAATATCCTCCCTGCTTTGTACCAGCTTCAATTCCATATTTTTAACATTTTTTCCGTGCTGACAGGCATAATCATAAGTCCTTTTTAAGACTGCTTGCATGGCTGCCATAGTTTTCTCAAGTGATTCTTTCAAATCGCTTTGTTGCAAAAAACACAGCATCAAAGCACTAAATAAATCCCCAGTACCAGTAAAAGAAACTGGTAATTTTGGTACTTCAAGTTTCAACTTGAGTTTTTTGTTGCTTGCAAACACCATAAGGGTATTGTTAATGTTTTCAGGTAGTTCAGCTGAAGAAATGCAAACTGTTTCAATGCCTTTACTGTGTAAAGCTTCAATTATTTGCCATATATTTGCTTCAGATTCAACTTTGATGTCAGTTAGAAGTTCTGCTTCAAATAAATTAGGAAATAAGATTGTAGCAATTGGTAGAATTGATTCTTTGTAGATTGGTAGCAGTTCTTTTGGGACATACATTTGTCCATTGTCGCCCATAACAGGATCACAAACTATTTTAAGAAAAAAATACAATAACATAATTATTATTAATACCAAACCTAAAATAAAATTACCAAAAATCAAATTGGGATTGATACTTTTCAAATACTTATGGGTATTAACAAGTTCTTTTAGGAACCCAGGTGAGCCAACATAACCAGTAAGCAAATGACTGTACTGATCCAGTTTGTTTTTTTGCAGGCCTGTTAGCAACTGGGCCAATTCTTGTTCACTGATCACTTGTCCTTTTACGTGTTCGTAGCCCGTATGGTTGGAAAATTGCACTGAGTTTATGTAGTCTACATCATACCCTAGAAGCTACCAGAAAAACTAGTTATTTTAGGTTTTTTTTTTTAAACAAGTTTTTACCTGCATAGGAAAAACTGCTGATTTGTTTCCGACGTATCCAGATACCACATGGCTTTGGATACTTAAGATTCTAGGTTCCATAACTGCTGTTGTTTCGACTAAATAATTTCTAATCTAAAAATTTTACTTAATAAAAAAAACCTACTTAAGCAATTTATTAATTATCCGGCTGATAAGCTTAATAGTTTGTTTACCATCGTGATTAAATTTCGAGCTAATTGCATTTACTAGGAATAATAAAAGTTAATTAAGAAGGGGAAACCTATAAAATCAATTGATTATGATAAATTCAAATATTTATTCAAATACAAACAGTGTTGCCACACATCGACATTTATCAAATTTAGAAACTTTATTGTTGGTTGGCAACCATGCAAGTTAGAGCATTTAAATTTTTTTTTTTAATGTTTGTGTCATTGACATTAGAAAGTTCTCGTGCGTCAGACGCTACGCTAATACGGTATTTCATGTGGTACTTTGGTACTTTATAGTTCTCAGGCACAAAGACACATAAATCCTCTAATCCCTTAATTCTGTTTACATTTTGACAGCTGAGTTGAGTATTCTAACCCCACTTTTTTTTTTGCTTGTTTTCTAACTTTTATTTATTCTGAAGATTCCTGAGCTTGATTAATTTTCCCTTGGTGATTTTTATGGAGGAATTATTAGAAGTTGCTGTTTTTGCAGACATAAAATGGAACGTAAATTAGTTTTGACATAGCATAGCGTTACGGTAAGGCATCCGGTAAGTTCCGTTAGATAGTGGGCTCCGCTAACGCTAATACCGTAAGAACTGTCATACTTGTCAAATAGCGTTACGGTATTTGAAATTTGGACGGCACGAGAACTTTCTATTATTGTCACATATGTTAGGGCGCTTTCTTTTATTCAGCGGTGGATCCATCGGTAATCAGCCTTTCTTTGTCTATCTCATAGAAAATTGGTATGTCTGTCTCATAATGCTGGCAGCAGATGGATCCATTGCTGAATAAAAAAACGCGCCCTTATATTCACAGTTGCTCATTGCCAGGTAAGCGCTAGAAAATTTTGAAAATCCTCCTCAACCAATCAAATCTATTTGATGACATTTCCGGTAGTGATTTTCAAAATTTAAATTATTCCCGGCTGTTGATTCAAGTTCAAGAGCTAGGAACAATCAAAATTCGAAACTAACTGCTATTTTTATACAAATGGCAACATTGCAACAGCACTAATCATTATTGATGTTCAATTTTTAAGTTATTCCCGCCTCTTAATTTGAAACAGTAGGCAACTTTTCGCGAGGAGAATCAAATTTGCTTAATCTAATTATGTTGGATTATGTGATCGATAATTGTCCTCCCCTAACTCCCTCCCTATCAAATTTTTGGGACTGCGAGTGACGTCACTATCAGCAACATATAGTGATGACGTCGCCCGCAGACCTTGATGGAATGCTCGCAATTCAGGCTGTGTTAGTTTGGGTTTAGTTTAGGTGATTTTCGGTTTATTCTCACAGAAGATATTAGTACTCGTGATCCTTGATCCTCGAGTATCCCAGAATTTGATGGTGGGGGAGTTCAAGGATGATACACACTACACTACTATAGGATGGCCTATCTTCATAAGGCCTGTGTGTAACAATTCTACCCTTTCCCACCTCGCCAAATTACCAGTTGTGACGTAGGCAGCATGTTATTTCTCGTCTTGACGACATAGGCTATTCAAGCAGTTGACGAATTAGTTATGACTTCGAAAATGGTGACACACCAATATGGCGGCGATTACCAAAAACGAGGCTGATAGCAATCCTGTAGGGACTTGGAGCAGGTGAAGGTAAAGAGGAGTAGTAACCTTTATTTGGAAAATGAAGCCGTTTTTTTTCAGGTATTTTGGCACCAAAAAAATGGCGGTATAGGAAATTCAATGCATGGCGTGGCGGTCACACATGGGCCAAAAAACAGAAAAAAATATCTAGAATCTGCTCGATTTATTAGTTTAGGTACCTAGTCAACAAATATTTTATTAAATAATCAAAATCAAAGTTGCAAGCAAAACTCTAATCAAAATAATTTGAAATACGCATGAAAACACATTCAAAACAAACTTGCTTGGCCGCCACGCCATATTGAATTTCCCTATCTGACAGATGGATTGAATGGCATGTAATATTGACAGTTGAGTTGAAGAGGACGCTCCTGTACTTCGTGCGCTTCAAATTTTGGCGCGTGAATAATCGATTGTAATTTTAACCTCAAAAGTTAAGTTTAACGCGTGGTTTCAGAACATGCTGACGCTGACACTTATAAAAATATTCTCTAAGGGCCACTGAACGTTTTGGAAGATATTTTAACTTATTGACTGTCCATTGTTCATATGTAGTCATCTTTCCTTCTACCCAATTTAAACGGTTTAAAACTATAGACATTTACCGCCAAAATTTGAAGCACTCCAAGTTTACTCGCGCCCTCTACAAAATTTTGGGGAACTTAACTGGATATTTCCTGCCATTGGTGCCAAACACCTGCCAAAAACTTGGCTTCACTACTTTTTATGTCCGTAGGACAGCGTTTTACCTGCAGTGTTGCTAGATCACACGATTATTCGTAAGATTACAGGATTTTGGTCATAGTATCACGATCTCACGAATGAGGTAGCAATTCTTACGATTTCTCTCTGTAGTAATACAAATCAGTAATCAAATATAATGTTATCGGGAATAAAAATCTACTATACAATATTTAGTTATGTTACGCCGCTCCTGGTACATGCGTGCTTAAGAACACTTTACCTATAGCACGGCATATACAAAAACAATCAGCAAGCTGACTCTGACTGAAGCTTTGTATCCCAAAATGGCGGCGTGCGCGGATGAGATGCGCGTTAAATCTCATTGTTCTGCCATTTAAAGATAGACTATAAGAGATGCGCGTGACAGTTAACCTGCTGCTTGTTTTTGTATATGCTGTGGTAATAGAACTGCTTATTGAGCTGAAAGTGTCTGCGAAGGCTACGACACCCCAATATTTGTGACGTCAGCTGCAGACCTCAACTCCTGGCAGAAAATTCATTATGCGAGTCCAAAAAACGAATCAATAAACGTTGAAATCGCCTTCTCTAAATTTAAAATTCCCAAAAAAAACGAACTCACAAGCACAGCCTGAATTGAAAGCAATCCATCGAGGTTTGCGTGTGACATACCACTATCAGCTGCTGATAATGGTGACGTCAGTCGCAGACCAGCTGCCGACTCGAGAATTGGCGAACGTACGCCTTATTAGGATGAGCATATGAGGAATCCTGCGTATAATGAAAACGAGGTTCAGCTCTCAGAAACACCTCCTAAAATAGGGAAAAAACAAGGATACAAGATTTAATAATAAAATTTCTATTTCTTATGGATGCTTACTTTATCAAAAATCTATAAAACAACATTGTTGTGCATTATTTTCTTACAATATTTTAGCAGTTTTAAGTCTCACGATTTCTCCCGATTTTTTTTTCTCGATTCTCACGAATTTTTTTCATTTCATCTGGCAACACTGTTTACCTGCTCTAAGTGTAGGGGTGTGTATCATCCTTGGGGAAAGTTAGGGAAGTATAACACAATTGACACATCACATAATCCAACCCGATTATGCCTGATTATCCTCGCGAAAAATTGCCTAGAGTATATTCTCGCGATGAACCTGTGACGTCATATCAAAATTGGTTCAAACCGTTTTGAAATACAATTCCACGTTTTAAAACTATTCACTTGCGCCCTATCGTGACACTGTTTTAATTCAGTTTTAAGAAATTTAAGACGCGAGAAAACACCTCAAGAGCCAAGAACAATCAAAATTCGAAACTTTCTGCTATTTTTATAGAAATGGCAACATTGCACTAAACTGAATGATACTGAATTTCAAATTTAAATTATTCCCGGCTCTTGATTGAAATTCAAGAGCCAGAAACAATCAAAATTTCAAACAAAATGCTCTTTTCATACTAATATTGATAATAGAAAGAGTTGCAACTGCACTAATTTGATTGGTGATAGATTTTCAAATGTATATGTAATTATTCTCAGCTCTTGAGTTAAATTCAAGTACCGGGAATAATCAAAACTTGCTCCATTTCTATGGTAAGAGTCAAAAATCGTAAACTAACAAGATTGCTTATACTCATAAAACGTACGTTAAATTTTCGAGTAGACAAGGCTTGCGAGTGACGTCACCACTATAAGGCACAAAACTTTTGGGTCTGAAGCCAATTTGCTCAATCAGTCTTTTGTTCAGTATTCTTTCCAGGACTTTCCCTAAAGAGTCCAGTACAGATATAGGCCGATTGTTTGCCTTAATTCTTGAATGTTTGTTTGGTTTTGGAAAGACAACATAATGGTGACGTCACCTGCAGGCCTCGATGGGTTACGCAGTCCTATAGTCAAGTGTTCTTGAGAATGATCGCTTGAAGCTTGAAGGGTACTGTTATCAGCTGTGAAAGGAATACAAAGGTAATACAATACAACAATTGGCATTCAGCGTTGGAATTTTTTGAAGAAAAATGTCTCGTCAACCAATTAAATCTATTTATTAACATTTTTGGTGATGAATTTGAAAATTTAAATTATTCTCGGCTCTTGATTCAAGTTCAAGAGTTAAGAACAATCAAAATTCGAAACTCACTGCTATTTTTATACAAATGGCAACATTGCAGTAAGCTGATTGATGGTGAATTTTCAAATTAAAATTATTCCCTGGACACCCATTTAATAAAAAAGCGATCCGAAACGGATTCACATTTGGGCTTGAAACGAAGCGAGATTCACGTGTTCGATTTGAGCAATAGAGCGCTCTCAAATCTTGCACGGAGCGCTCTTTCTTGCTCTGTCTAATTCGATCGATCAATGAGTTTGATCAAGTACTGAATTACAGAAGCTCTACAAAGTTCATTGGCAAACAATAGGGCATTGATTTCAAATGGTGTTCCCTCGTTTGGATATAACTGCTCTCGTAGCATACTACCGCAGAGATCTGTGACGTCACCGCCTAAACTGGGAGCAGTATGCCGAAAGCTGTGTAAATAGTGTTGCCACATTAATTTTTTACCAAATGTGGCAACTTTGTATAGGAAATTTCGCTGGTTAGCAACAATGCAAGCAATCAAAATTCCAGACAAAATGCTCTTTTCATACTAATATTGATAGTGTTGCAACTGCACTAATTTGATTGGTAATAGATTCTTAAATTCATTACATTATTCTCAGCTCTTAAACTAAATTCAAGTGCCGGGAATAATCAAAATTTGCTTCATTTCTATAATGGTAAGAGTCAAAAATCGTAAACTAACAGGATTGTTTATCCTCATAAGGCGTACGTTCGCCAGTTCTCGGCAGGGCCTGCGAGTGACGTCACCATTATCAGCAGCATAGCAACTCATAGTGGTGACTTAAGCGCCCTATTATGTCAAGTATTCTTGGGAACTGCAGCACCCCAGTTCCAGAGCTGTCACCTGCTGTGACTATCGTCATTCAGCAGCAGAAAATTTTGGAAAAAAAAATTATCAACCAATCAAATCTATTTGATGACGTTTTTGGCGGTGAATTTCAAAATTTAAATTATTCCCGGCTCTTGATTCAAGTTCAAAGCTGTTTTCTCGCGTTCGCTTTTTCGAAACTGGTTTAAAACAGGTTTGGAACAGTATATTCTCGCATGACGTCATATTAAAATTGGTTCAAAAACTCTGAGGTTCGAACCGTTTCAAAATACACGTTTAACAATTATTTTCTGGCGCCGAAAAGTTATGACGTCATGTTTTAAACCAGTTTTGAAACATTTCAGACGCGATAAAACACCTCAAGAGCCAGAAACGATCAAAATTTGAAACATATTCCGCTATTTTTATATGAATGGTAACAATGCAACTGCACACTAATCTGATTGGTAGTTGATTTTCAAATTTAAATTATTCCTGGCTCTTGATTCAAATTCGCAAAGTTGCATCAATTCCAAATAAAGCCCCCCAGATCAAAAATAGTTAGTACACATGGAACAGTCAGAGTAGAATTACTAGAAACCCAAATTAATTTTCAAATCAGTTTTATATTAGCTGGGTTCGGCTATTCAGCGCGGAGTTGGAGTGGAGTGAACAGAGCTAATGGAGTCACCCCTAATACGGTAAAAAGCAATACCCGAACGGCTGGAGTGCGAATGGAGTCACTCGGAGTGCACGGAGTGAGCAAGCCGAACCCACCTATTAAATAAATTCATTGTTTAGAAGGATATTAGAGTAGTTCGAACAGTAACAAACAGAACAGAGTTAGTGCAGATGGAACAGAAATTGGAACACTTAGAGTAACGCACCATAGAGTAATTTAAATCGAGTGCAAGTGCAAATAAAACAGAACTAGAACAGTCAAGGTAGTTCGGACAGTTGAACAATTCAAAAAGAGTCAGCACTCAGTGCGAGGTGATTGTCAAATGGAAATCGCTAATAAATTCAAGAGCCGGGAATAATTAATTATTTTCTATATTTCAATAACAAATATTCGGCTCTTTGCAACGCAATAACTGTTTTAGAATTGTCAGGAATGTGCGAGAAGTTTGAAATTTCTTGTTCGGGTTACTACTTTAGGACGGTTCTGAATTCAGGTTCAAGTTGGAACTGTTTTGGGACGGTCCTAGAAATGTCAGAATTGATCCCTGTTCTAGAGTAAGTACAATTTATTGCGTAAATAGTGCAGAAAAAAAAATTATATTGGTACCAATTGACTCTAATGACACTTTTGATTTTTGACAGTTCTCATTGAGTGTTTTGTGTTTGGGTGTGTAGTAATTTCCTCCCAGTTATTTGTTATAGTTTTTCCTCGATTTTTCAATGAAAACTCTCCAGTAAATCCCCAAAAATCGCTGCAAAACAATGGACCCAAACAATCACACCAACTATGAACACTCCTACATGCAAAAAATGGAAAACCTGACGATGCAGAGCCCGAAATACGGTAAAATATCCAGAGCGGAGCCCGCAGTTGCAACCCAACAACATCAAAAACAATATTCCCTCTACGAGCGTCAGTTTGCCACTCCTAAAGAAGAAAACAATGTTTACGTGCAAGTGGCGAAGCCCCAAGTGCCGCTACATCAAGACCACAGCAACCCCGTTTACGAAAACATTGATTACTACCCTACAAGTAAAGCGCAGCCTCAAGTACCACCCAACAACAAATCCTACGAAGTTCCTTCTTTGTATGAAAACGTGCAGGGCTTCTATCAGAAATCTGGGGCTCAACCGGGGCCCCAAGTGCCCTCGACTTACCAGTACCACCAGAGTTCTGTGCCCGAACCTCAGCATCCGGTTTATTCCACAATGCATTCACCTAGGACTAAATTTGGTCAGCAAATGGTCGAGGATATAAATGGGGGCGACTATGTTTGTATGACTGGCAACGTTGCGCAAACTTTGAGTACCAACATGCAGTTTCAGACCACCAGTGCTAAAAGTTACGACAGGTAAGATTTTTTTCTATAAATTATTCACACAATTTTCAAAGAATCATGATACAACTTGGCAACTCTGTTGTGTTGTTGGTAATAAACATACATAACCTAGCAAACAAAATGGCTGCATCAAGCAATGTTGCCAGTAGTAGCAGTATCTTACTCAATAATCGTAATAATTGTTTTGCTATTTATTTATTTTAAATGAATTTTCTATTAATCTTTATCAGATAATTGTGAAATGAAAGTAATTATTTTATTCCAAGACGATGTGGTGTGGCAACAGGGCTATGTCACCAATGTCAAATTTCAAACAGCGTTGCCACCTCACGAAAATTTAATGTAATAGATTGAAGCCAAAATTGTAAAAAGAATTCATTTTTTACTTGGTTATAGATTCTGTCATCTATCAGTTTAATGTATGATAAATGACATGTATTATTTATTATTTTTATGCTCACTTGTTTTTGTTGTACCAACTGGACACAACACAAAATCAAATTTGATAGTCAATACCATTTTAAACGGACTTCAAAAGGTTCTGACGTCATTTACGGTGATTTGGGAGCATCATCATTAGATGAAGCCACTGAAGGATCCTATCAAGGTTCCTATACTCTACAAAGAAGGCGTTACCTCTATCTGTATCTGTTTGTGACACGTCACACCTGACAGAACATAAGCGTATCATCAATAGCAGCAGTAGCGCCGTAATTCACATAAATAAATAATAAATATTTATTGTTTATTTTTAATACATTTTCAAGGTTGTTTGTTTGTGTTGGAATCAAGATTGTTTAAGACTCAGGTTGCCTGACTTTTATTTTCATGACGTCATCTGTATGCCTTGGAGTGCGTTCGAAATCAGTCTGGGCGTCACCGTGCAAACCCGCTGTCATCTGTTTACTATTACCAAATAACCTATTACAGGCAATTAAAGTATCGGCAACGTCGCTGAAATTTGTTTTAAGGGGAGTCTCATTTAAATTCCAATCGCGTTGTCTCTCTCTTTCGCACTGCTTATTGTTTCTCTCTCTTGCCTGGCTGAATTTGAGTGTCTGCCAAGGTTGTTTGAGAGAGGTATAATATTTCTGCTTGCGTCACTATTTGTGACGTGAAATGCATTATCCGAGAAAATCGAATTCCTAAGCGTTAAAATCAAATTTCCCACATTTAAAGTTGATGCAAGAATTAACTCACAAGCACAGCTAGAATGGCAAGCAATCCATCAAGGTCTGCGGGTGATGTCATCACTATTGCCTTATTACTATAATATGACAATTTCGTATTATTAATGAATCTTATTAAACATTGACTTGACCTGAATGACAGCGACAGATGCCAAATGCTACAGTGAACTTTATAAAAGACAGTGTGTGGTTCTGCGCCATCTTGTGGTATTTTGTGCAACTTAGAATAAGTGACGTCATTTACTTTCTTACATTGATGAATTATGTTAATTTTCCTATCTATTCTATTATCGCATCTATTAAAAAGAGATAGATGTAAAACTGGGAGGCGATGTCAAAATTGTCAGATAGTTCGAAAAGGACAGTGACAATATACCACAGTGGCGACAATTGCCGTCCTATTTTTGATTGGTTCTTTAAAATCCTATATTGAAAATGAGGAAGAATATGGCGGCAGAACCGCTATTCTCCTTTACTAGATTCCTATTGAAAATGAGCTAGAATATCGCAGCGGGACTTCTATTGTTGCCATTGTGAATAGAAAAGCTTTATTGAGTCACTGTACGCTATTGTTTGATACTGCGCCATCTGGTGGTATTCTGAGGAATTTACAATAAATGACGTCACGCACTCTCTTACAATAAAATTCAAATTATGATTTTTTTTTAGAACCCACTCTAGTTAGTTATTTTTTTTTTATAATTTTTGGAAATTTATCCATAGAGATAGCGAAAAAGTTGCCGATGACGTCATCTGGGGTCACTTATCAATGAAGCAGTGAGAAAGTTTGGAATGGTCTCTTCATATTTACTCAATATTTATATTTACGGTCAAGATTAGAGTGAGATAACGAGAGATTCGTGAGATTTTCTGCCCTGACTAGTTCTATTTCACTCAAGGTTAGAGTGAAAAATCCGAGAGATTCAATATTCAATGGATTTTCTGCTCTAAGTAGCACTATCTCATTCTAGAATTATTTGAGTTTTGCAAAGCCCGTTCCAAACCAAAATCTTATGAAGATTTGCATTATGTTGAGGCACCCCAGATGACGTCATAAAAGTTATCTACAGGCAACCTACTTCTCAAACAACCTTAAGTTACCCTGATAATTTTTATAACATCATCTGAGATGCAAATCTCCATTAGGCACTTCCAGATGACGTCATCTGCTTCCTATTACCACACAACAACTTATTAACTTTAGAAACCTTGGGGGCAATCCACTGACCTGTCAAAACAATAATTCAATATGGCAGCAACGGTCAAACATCCGTGATGTTATACGAAAATACAAGAATTATCCTTACACAGAGAACAGTTTTGTATAAACAAAACGTCACGATTGTCTGAATGTTAATGAAATCTTTGGAACCAATTTCATTGTTTGACCACAGCCGCCATAAAAATTACATTGCCCTATTGACGATGTCAAACATCAAGGATATTACACACTACATAAGGTAAGTAAGTTCAAATCTCAAGACTTTCATTATGCCAAATTACCAGTGATGACGTAAGCAGCGTGTCGTTTCAGGCATTGACATAGGGTGTTTGCACCGCAGGCTTTTCCTTTATGCATACTTGGTTTTAGTCCATCAATTACTATTTTGAAACAACCCTTTGTCAGATCTCGTTTGCCTATTATGTTGATTAAAATTAAATAATATTTTTCATTATAAATATATATTCCAAATAACGACCTCTCTCGCAAATAGCTAATGACGTCGAAATTGGTGCAACATCATATAACCTTGAATCCAAAAATTGAGGCCGATAAGCAATCCTGTTGTAGTGTTTTATATCCTTGGTTGAGGCTGTCAAATATACTCTCAAGGTCAACACAAAATTGGGTTATATTAGGCAGCGTGTTAAACGAATAAGGTACAATTAACGAATGACATTTGTCGTCATTGTCACCAGTGTGACGTCAAGAACTCCTTTACATTGAAATTATAGTTTTATTCCTTTCAAGGGAGAAATTTAGAGATTTTTATTTTTTTTTTCAAATTTAAATTGTTCCCGGCTCTTGAATTGAGTTCAAGAGCCGGGAATAATCAAAATTTTGAATTTAGCGCCATTTCTGTACTAATAGTGACAGTTGACGTTGTCAAACATACTCACAAAATCAACATAACATAAAATTTAGGGTTATGTTGGACCCAGCCTGGTAAACGAACAAGGTGCACAAATAACAAATGTCATAATTGTCACTCTTCAGAGGTTAAACAAGGAAAGCAATAAAGATTTATGAATTTATATATTGCTCAACGTCATTAGAATTAATTGAAAAATGACATTTTTGACATAAGAACCAACTAGTAGTGGTAGACTATGGGACTTTGTTGAGTGTTCTTCTTTTTTCATTTTGTGGCTTTTACAACCATAACCTAACCTAGTAGGCCATGGATTTTTTTGATTTCTTCTTTTTATCCTTATTATGCACAAGTGCATTTATTCCATTGAGCATTGAAAGACAGGAAGAGATAAACAATTTCCTGGGATGTCTCATGCAGTGTTGTCAGATTGAGCATAATTTTTCTAACATACAATACAGGCTATTGAGGTGCATGACGTTATTTACAGGTCGCCAGCCACCGGAATAGCGCAAACTCCGACCAAAAAACTCCCTTCGCCCGTCAAAGAAATAAAAAAACCCTTGCCTGCGCCCCTGGTTAAAGAGAAACGCCCCTCGCCCGCTCCCAGTCCCACCCCGAGTTTCGCCAGCATTTCGAGCGCGGGCAAATTGAAAATGAGCGGCAAAAACCTGTTGCCCTACAGCGTCACGCCCCCCAAACCTCGCGGCCCTAGCGAAGCTCAAAGGAAAATCGAAGAAATGACCAGGCAATTTGAAGAGGAGTTGGAGAAACATCAAGAAGAAGGGGAATATTTCGGTAAGAATAATGGCAACGTCGCCATGTTTAGAATCGTTAGTTTTTTTTAGGTATTTGTCATACTTGTGGCGACAAAGTGACAGGTGCAGGACAGGCCTGTCAAGCCATGGGCAATTTGTATCACACCAATTGTTTTATTTGTTGCTCCTGTGGGCGGGCCTTAAGAGGCAAGGCCTTCTATAATGTCCACGGGCGGGTCTATTGCGAAGAAGATTACCTAGTAAGCCCAAATAATGACAATGAAGTAACTTGTGATTTCTTTTTTTTTTTTTTAAATGGCTCCAATTTACATTTAAATGTCAATTGTCACAAAAATTATTCAAGATGGCGGCAAACTTGAAAAATGTACAATTGGGCCTTTAATGTCAAAATTATTGCATGCTTTTTGTGTTCAAATTCTTAATTCTTAGAGTTTCCACCATAATGAAATATTTTTTTAGTATTCCGGTTTTCAACAAACTGCTGAAAAGTGCGCCATCTGTGGTCACTTGATAATGGAAATGGTAAGTCACTGAGTTTTCATTATGTACCATTTTTCATGGTATTTTTGGTAGATATTGCAAGCGATGGGCAAATCGTACCATCCGGGTTGTTTCCGTTGTTGCGTGTGCAACGAGTGCCTGGACGGAGTACCATTTACAGTTGACGTTGACAATAAAATTTATTGCGTCAACGATTATCACAGGATGTTCGCGCCAAAATGTTCCTCTTGTGGCAAAGGTAAATAATTCCCAAAAAAAATATGACAACATTGCAAAATTATTTTTATAATAGGTATAACACCGGTAGAAGGTACTGAAGAAACTGTCAGAGTAGTGTCAATGGACAAAGACTTCCATGTTGACTGCTATGTGTGCGAAGAGTGCAACATGCAATTGACAGACGAGCCTGACAAGCGCTGTTACCCGTTAGAGGGCCGGCTACTTTGCCGCTCCTGTCACATACAAAGGCTGAATCATACGCCGCATCACTTGCAACCTGTCAGCGCCACTTATCAGTATAGTGGCTAAATCTGTCAATTGTCAATTAGGTAATTATTATTGTTGATTGAATTTGTTTAAAACATTCTTTGTTTTTGGGTTATATACCTGTTGCAATAAGGATAATATATGTTAGTTTATTAGAAATATATCCTCATAAGGTCTTCTTTTATTAATTAGCAATAGGTTATAGGTCCAGTTTATTTTTTTTAAATATTTTGTACATTTTTCTGTGATATGACTGTTTAAGTTCACGACAGATTGTATCAATACAATTTTTTTTTGTATTTATTCGTGTTTTATTTTTTTCTGGGATTTCTAGGTGTCTAACTGACAGGTTTATAGGACACAGAGAAAAATCACCTTAAAGCCACAAAATAAATATACAAGCTTCAAATTGACGTAGCATCATCCTTAGAAATTTGACAGGTTGTCTCTCGTATAATATTGACATTTAATGTCACCAATATCGACGTTTACCTATGGGATTATCCAACGCACCCGCAACATGGCAACGTCTAATAGATCAAGTTCTGGGCGTCGATCTTGTATATCTTGACGATATAATTATTGTAACTTCCGTGTTTGAGAAACACCTCCAGTATAGATTTGAGTGACATCGCGGAAAAGTTGGGTTTTTCCGCTGTTCTGGTGCCGATTTGCTGCGGCTGTTAAAACCAGCTGGATTTGAGGGTTTTCGTCAGAGTGCCCCACGTTGGGCGCCAAAATTTGCCACGCAATTTCCGCCCTCAAACGACTTCAACAGTTTAAAGGGGAAGGTACGGTAAGGCGGATAACGGAATGCTAGGCGGTTCAACTCAAACTCACAGGAAAAATATCTTGTGATTTCTTGTAACTGGTAATCAATCTACATTGGAATTGGGCTTTTTTATATAGGCCATATTTTTTTATTCCTGTGAGTTTGAGTTGAATCTAGCATTCCGTTATGCACCTTACCGTACTTTTCCCTTTAAACTGCTAGAGCCGTTTGAGGGCGGAAATTTTGGCGCCTAACGTGGGGCATTTTGAGAACGAAAGGCTAAAACCTTCAAATCCAGCTGGTTTTAACAGCCACAGCAAATCGGCACTAAAATATTTGCAAATATAACTATGATGGCGTGGTTTTCTGGCTTTCTATCCCCAAATTTTCGAGAGTGATGATCACTTCCTGATCTGGTCGGTTCCCCTCCAATGAAGATGGAATAGGGGAAATTTTCAAATGCGCACCCAACTCTATACTGAAGGTGTTTTCTCAAACGTGGAAGTCACAATAATTATATCGTCAAAATGTACTAGTAGGTACTCCTCCAGATTGGCCCTCAGAATTTGGTCTATTAGACGTTGTCATGTTGCGGGTGCGTTGAATAATCCTATAGGTAGACGTCAAAACAAATCATCCGACAAGAATCTCGTAACCTCATAAAAAAATTCAAAAATATTTGAAGAAATACGAAAATTTGACAGTACGGAACAGGAGCCCATTCCACGGTGGTACTCCCAAAATAGTCAATGGCCGGAACCTACTAAACCCATCAGGCCGAAATATTTATAGTTTGCAAAACATAACTTCTCGTGCAAACAACCTACATCAAGACGAAAAAGGACATGCTGTCTACGTCACAACCGGTGATTTGACGTGGTGGGGGGCTTCAGATTTGTTCCACACAAGTCTTACGAGAATAGGCTAAGAGTATATCAACAAATTTAAAAAAAAAGGACTAATAAAACTATTTTCCAATTTAAATGTATATATTTTGTTTTTGTTATCCTAATATATTAGGTTTGTTCAGAACTGATTTTGGACTAGCTCCGAACAAACCTATTCAACAACTATAAAAACAGCCTGAAAAAAAGAAATTCAGTGTAGGTACCTAATATTACATATTATTAAATCGTAATAATAAAAAATAAATAATGCGGACTAAAACAGAAAGGCGACACTGTTGCCAAATAGTCTCTTCTTTTTTTTTAAAAAATTGACATTTATCGCTTCTTCAACAAGTTGGTCAAAGAAACAAGCTGCAAACGTAAATCCTTTTGTCTAACAGTTTCTTCCAGTTCCTTGGTAAAGCGCCGCTCCAACGTTGCCAAATCGGCAATACCCAATTGCTGGTTCAACAAACTACTGAAAAACAAATTCCACAGCTCGTTGTTGGTATAACGCGGCAATCTTGACGTAAAACTCCATCGACCGCCGCACTTTTTCAAATTAATATACTCATGAAAAAGTAACACATGCGCAGAAGCAGCAACGCAAAACAAATCAGTATGGTAGCTCCAAGGTTGTCCATCTCTAACCTAAATTTCAAAAGTTACAATGTTGCCAACTAATATAATTTGTACAAACCTCGCAGCAAATGAAATTCTCAGTGCTAATAGGGGTGGTGAACATTGCATTGTCAGGAAACAGGCTCATGTCAATACTGCAGCCAAAGTCAATGAGCTGTAAAGCAAGGCCATTGCACGAGGTCAACATTACAAGAAAATTGTCAGGTTTAATGTCGGCGTGGATTATTTTAGCTGCGTGCATTGCCCGCACGATTTTCAACATTTCCAATGTGAAAAATATACAAAGTGACTCTCTGTCTTTGGACGGGAGCAGTTTGATTAGGTTAGCTGTGTCCAATAAGGAACCAAATGGCTCAAATTTCGAAACCAATATTGATGCTTGATCACCTACAAAATGTTTTTGTAAATGTTATTATCCTTGACGAGAATAGTGATTGGTTTACTAAAATATCCAATTGAAATGTCCATGAAGCGGTCGCGTAAAGGATGTTCGGACAAGCGGGCTTGTAACTCGCTGCAAATGTAAAACTCCCACCGGTTGGGCGGTCGTTGGTACTTCAAGGCCACTGTGCAGCTCATCTGGTAGTTGTAGGCTTTGTAGACGGTACCGAATTGTCCTTTTCCCAGTACCTTTTCGATTAGGTACTTGTCTCTACCTAAAGGAGGAAATACTTGTCTTTGTTGCAACTGTAATTTTTATAATAATAAATATCCCATTCTTGTTTTACTGCTTGAAAATAACAAGGACAATGAGAAGTTCTCATAAATGAAATTTATTGGGATGAATACAATAGGCGTGTTCTTTCTATATATGTAGTTCATCCAAGGATAGGTTGCCTAGAGATGGGTTACTGGATGACGCATCTAAGGTGCCTCATGGAAATTTGCATTATGTTAAAGCACCGCAAATGACGTCATAAAAAATGCAACCCACGTGACGTCATCTGGGAACCTAAACATAATACAAATATCCATGAGAACCACCTAATGACGTCATTTTCAACCTATGTTTCGAGTCGAATTCGGCGACGTTACCAATATCATTGGAAAAATGTTGGTTGCTTGTAGAAGATAATGGCGAACAGAGACGTCATCAGGTAATTCTTATAGAAATTTTGATTATGTTTAAGCATACAAATGACGTCATATAAGTTATCGGGCAACCTCCTCTCAAACAACCTTGATCCGAAACCACACGTTGTTTACGTCATCACTGATACTTTGACGAGCCGCAGGCGAGTAGTGTAATCATCCGACTGAGTAATAGTCATTACCCACGAGTAGAATACCATAAGTTTTCTATGAATAATAGATAATAGGCACAAGTTATGAGGTTTTTTATTTAAAAATTAATTGACAATTCTGACATTTGGAGTCTTGTTTAAATCAGCTGTCAAAATGCAAAGACATTTACACTACTCGCCTGCGGCTCGTCAAAGTATCAGTGATGACGTAAACATACTATTACAATCCTCGCTTTTAAACAACCACAAATGCCAGGATTCAATATGACAGCAATGTTTAAGCATCCGTGATATTTGTTTATCTAAGTTACATCATTTTGATTTTTGATTGGTCTTAAACAGATACCATTTTCAGCGATTCACACTTTTCATTATTTCAAAAAACGTTGGCAAGACTGAATTTTCCCAATACATTTTATAAGGTTGGCATTACTGATTCCCACAGTGGCAACATTGCTTTTTTACTTTAATTGATTGATTGATTATGTCTATACTTTCAGGCATATGCTTAGCAGCCTTAATATAGACTTATTGTATATCCTTGCACATGCCCCACTCCTCCTCATCCACTATGGAAATTTGACGGTCGACCAATCCCAATCGCGCTATCTCTCGCTCTCATATTGCTGGCTGACTGTTTCTCTGTCTCACTTAGCTGTACTCGACTCGGAACGTAAGTTAAATATGACGTCATCAGGTGGTTCTTATGGATATTTGCTTGACAATTGCCGCCATATTGAATCCGATTGAAAAGTATTCCCAAAACAGCTTTTAATAATTGTGAAAACAGTCATTATAAATATTCAAGAATGCCATTTGGACTCAAAAATTCCCCGGCAACCTTTCAGCACGTTATGGATAACGTGCTACGTTTCAAATGTTGACTGTTACAGGCTTTTGATTGGCCAATCAAAAATAACGTTGTCATGTTGTGCAGCTTCTAACAACGATAATATGTATTCTTATTTATATTTTTTAGTTCATTATCAATAAGTATGATATTTGTCTTTTACCAACCTTACACATTTTGACATTTTGTGATGAGAAAGAGATAAAAAAAAAACCAATCATGTGTAGGAAAGAATGAGAAAAATATATCAAATTCTGACTGTTACAGGCTCTTGATTGGCCAATTACAAACAACGTTGCCATGTTGTACAGCTTCTAACAGCGATAATATTCCTATTATTTATATTTTGTAGTTTATTATCAATAAATATGACACTTTGTTTTTTGTCAACTTGACACATTTTGACATTTTGTGATAAGAACATTGACCTCTAACCTAGGATAGACACAACAAATCAACTCAACTCAACTCGGAAGATGACGTCATCAGGCGGTTTTCATAGATATTTGCATTATGTTTAGGCTTCCAGATGCAATCATAAAAGTTATCAGGCAACCTACCTATTTTAAATAACCTTGAGTTAATAAACAAACCACACAAATGCTTGACAATTGCCGCCATATTGAATTCCCAAAATAGCTTTTAATTGTAAAAACGGTTATTATGAATATTTAAGAATACCATTTGGATTCAAAAAACCTCTGCAACCTTTCAGTGCGTTATGGATAACGTGCTACGTTTCAAATGTTGACTGTCACAGGCTTTTGATTGGCCAATCAAAAACAACGTTGCCATGTTGTGCAGCTTCTAACAGCAACGACGTTCCAAATATTTATATTTTGTAGTTTATTATCGATAAATATGACATTTTGTCTTTTGTTAACTTAACATTTTGTGATGTTAACATTGGCCTCTAACCTAGAATAAATAACACAACTCATCCATAAAATTACTCCGCCAACAATCAAGAACACGATCTTAGGAAAATTTGTATTGGCAACATCGCTTTCCAGCGACCTTGCCATACATTCCAAAAGCAAGCTGAAAACAACAATTAATGACTTGGCAACCATGCTAATGTGTGTCACGTGTACGATACTCCAAAAACGACGTTGCCATTTTGTAATTATATAACAAAACAACTTTTAATTATGAAATATGAATATTCAAGAATGCCATTTGGACTCAAAAATCTCCCGCAATATTTCAGCGCACTATGGATAACGTGCTACGTTTGAAATGTTGACTGTTACAGACTCTTGATTGGCCAATTACATACAACGTTGCCATATTGTGCAGCTTTTAACATTTCAAATATTTATATTTTGTAGTTTATTATCGATAAATATGACATTTTGTCTTTTGTCAACTTGACATTTTGTGATGAGAACATTGACCTCTAACCTAGAATAGACACCACAACTCATCCATAAAATTACTCCGCCAACAATCAGGAACAAGATCTCGGGAAAATTTATTTATCTTGTATTGGCAACATCGCTTTTCAAGAGACAAGACTCCAAAAACGACGTTGCCATTTTATGATTAGAAATCTCCAACTTTTGGTCAAATGTTACCCACCTATAAAAACCGGTTCCTTTTCCTTCTTGACCATCAACCTGGGATTGCCGTTGATATGTACGAAACCCTGATGATGGACGCCGGGAAACGAAACTCTGTCCAGCAACTGGTTCAACAACTTGGCCTTGAACGGGTCCGAGGGTACTTGACTCAGAGGCTGAGTCGCGTTCAGAATGGGACTGTGAATAGGGGTGTATTGCATCGGCACAGGGGGTGTTGGCGTATCTTCCATTACACTTGCTGCAATTTATTTATAATATACAAGAAAGAGATACAAAATATATATGTTTTTCTACCTTACCGTAAAAACTACGTCTCAATTCCTCGTTTGCTTTGAGATTTTGCTCCAAATAGCTGTTGTGCTCTTCAGAAATTGTATTCATTTTTGTGGGTTGTCCATAAAGTGATAATTTGGTTGCGGTACCACCACTGGAACTGGAACTTGTAACGTAGCTTTTTTCTTCTAGAATCGTGCTAAGCGCCTTTTTGTCGCATTGGTAAAGTTCTTTACTAAACAAAGCCTTGCGAGCGCTTTCCAGCTGGTCATTGGTTGAATGCATCGGTTGAGAAGTTTTATCTTGCGGCGTACTAACCTGGAATTGGTTCAATTGGATGACGTCACAAACACATAAGCGCAACTAGGCTCCAAATTTGTTTTTTTTTGTTTGTACTTACGTCATCATTTGCCTTTTTAAAAAAAAAAATAGATTTTTTTTATGTCTGAAATTTCGAACAAACAATAGTTCGTTGCACGGCACGCAGGTTTTTACTTACGTCATCGATGACGTCATAAATTAGAGAAAAAGTTATGTCATAGATTAATTCATGGAGCACCTTCGGAATTATTGTTTTGTAATACATTTTTTAACTTAGAAATATATAAATAAAACTTCTCCTAGAGTCATTTTTCACTGGACAATCAAAACATGCAGGGCCGCAACTAGGAGGTGGCGAACTAGGCGCCTGCCTAGGGCGCCGAAGGCGCCTAATTAAATCCATCCATATTTTACAATCCAAAAAAATGCAACGATTTTACGCGTCATTTGTCGTAGCATGGAAATTTATTTTGCTTGTGTTACATCTCTCTTTGTCAACCATCAACAATACGAATATCGATAGTAATCCAATGGAATAGTAATCATATAAATAATGTCAAACACTGTGTGCGTGCAAAAGGCAGCAGCAAATTGCAATGTCTGTGATAAATTCAAGTATTGATGACGTAGCGTCCAACATTCGTTAGCCAGAAATTAGATTTAAGTCGAGCTTTGATCCGACTAAACTGAGCAAGAACATTGTGGGCGACGTGGGCACCCTCTGCATGCTGCATTAACCCGATCAGCAGCTAAATGTTGGCGTCTGCTGGCGATCGGGTTAACCCGATCATTGTTTCCATAAACAGCTTTTACTTTTACAATAGTTTCGTTCGCGGTAAGGATTCTGAACTGGTTCAAAACTATTTCGCATGCGCAGCAACCAGAATCGGTTCGGAACCGTTTCTGAACCAGTTCTAGCGGTCCTAGGATTTTAGCAAGAACTTCAGGATTGACACAGAACGTAGCGTTCGTTTATGTATTAGGGCGAGTCCCCACTGGCGTAATTGACGTAAGCATAACTGATCACGTGATTTAATTTGTACGATTTCATTGGGGGCAGTGCAGCCATCTTGAATTTTTGACATTTCGCTGCCGCTACGGCAAAAAGTTGGGTTTTGTTGAACTTTTCGGCGTAATCGTAGCGAAGTTGTGACGTTTGTGTTGGTTTTTTTTGATATAGGATAGAAAAATCACAGAAAACCAAAGGAAAAGAACTACAACAACGAATTAGTAAATTTTAATTATGACCAGACAAAAAATGAACAAGATATTTGGGTTAGAAAATGTTTTTGTTTTGGTTTTGATGCACTAAATTTGGGAAGAAATGCCAAAATTGGCGTAGAATTGACGTTCATGGCGATTGCGCTAATAGACTTGTCTCGCATAAATAGAGAAAGAAAGTCTAATTGTAATAAATACAAGTTAGAAAGTAATAAAAGATGACATGCGCGCGCAACTCGTAGGTTCAGTGTGGCCAGATTGTATTATTGCAGAACAAATAAAGATAATACAAATCCCACATTATAACATTAAAGAAGTGATATAGTGTCAAGTGTTTTACAACGCCTTGAATCAGACAAAAGAAGCGCTTGAAAAGTTTATGTTAACATCTTTTATTTATTTTGATAAATGTTTCATCCGGCAACATTGCACAATGAAATTGCAAAGGAATATGTTAAGTATAATCTGACAAAACCTTGAACGACACTACGGTGAGTTCAAGTAATATATAAAGTATTAGTTTGCTCTCCGTCACTTTCTTTTACATGCTAGTAGTAAAGGACAAGAAAGAATACACTTAGGTCGCACTGAACTTACTAATGAATTTCATTATAAAAATTGCTCTTACCTTTATAAGGCCCAATAACAGGAACTTCATAATGTAGCAACCCTATACGTAATTTAACATTTCAAAGTAGGCCTTGTAATCTTTTGACAATTAATTCAAAATGGTTGGTTTGTTTTCAAGGCCTACTTGGTTTGATTTTACAGTTATCTGTATTACCGACATCGGTTAAAATCAGTGTAGTTTTCAAGGCCTACTACGTTATTTATTTTGTTGCTTGTCAATAATTTGATGTTTAACATTTTGTCGATGTTTAAAAAATAGTCGCTATGGAAAATTTAAAATTTACAAGGCCTACTTGGGCTATGTTTTTTTTCTAAATCTTTAAGCCTCATCAGTAATTGAAACAATGATTGTTGTAAGTTGAAATTGACAGCACTGTTCGATAACTGACAAAGTAAGCTTTAGAAAATTTGATACTCTGTAATACCGATATCGCAATACATATACATTTTCAAGGCCTACTTGGTTTGATAAATCTTTCGCTTACAGTTGTTGAGGCTTTCATATAATTCCGGTCCTTCGGGCTTTCCCTATAACTCCGGTCCTTCGGGCTCGCATATAACTCCGGCCCTTCGGGCCGGACTAGCATATAACTCCGGCCCTTCGGGCCGGACTAGCATATAACTCCGGCCCTTGGGGCCGGACTAGCATATAACTCCGGCCCTTCGGGCCGGACTAGCATATAACTTTCCCTATAACTCCGGTCCTTCGGGCTCGCATATAACTCCGGCCCTTCGGGCCGGACTAGCATATAACTCCGGCCCTTCAAATATCACAAAAAAGTGAGGTCAAATTCGCGGAAAAGTGAAGATAAAATCGCGGCAAGTAGGGAAACAATCGCGGGAAAATGAGGTAAGAATCGCGGTAAAATAAAGATGAAATAGTGGAAAAATAAGTTTGTAATCGCCGAGGAGTGAGGGTAAAATCGCAAAAAAAGTGAAGGTGAAATCGCAAAAAAAGTGAAGACAAAATTGCAAAAAAGTGGGTCAAATATCGCAAAAAAAAATGAGTCAAAAATTTCAAAAAAAGTGAGTGTGAATTCGTGAAAAAGTGAGATAAGAATTGCGGAAAAATGAGGTAATATTTGCGGAAAAGTGGGTTTACAACCGCGAAAAAGTGAATTAAGAATCACGGAGAAGTGATAGTAAGTAAAATGTAAGATTATTAAATTATGACGTCATCGATGACGTAAGTAAGTACAAAAAGTACAAAAAAAAAATAAATAATTTGGTTGCACTGATTTTTTTATATTAGTTTTAGGTAGTGCTAATTTTTGCTTTAGGGGTGCTTAGCACCCCCAAGCACTCCCCTAGTTGCGCCTATGCACAAACACAAACGCCAAATTCTTACGCGCATGGCATTCAAATTGAAATTGAACTGTTGAGTGGAGCTACAATCAAGCAGCTCCGCCATTTGTTCAGGATCGTCATAGGAAGAAGAGCTGCTGTCACTGAACGGTATTACTGCAGAAGGTTTGGCGCCATCTATCGGCTGAGCGGCCATCGCCCCGTCCATCCCACCTCTCGAACCAGTTTCCACTTCGTCGGCGTTTAAAGTCCTAAAAGTCGTTTTCATCGCGTTACCTGAAAATATTGAATATGGCAACAGTGTAGTTTGGCAAGTAACAAATTATAGACTGTTTGATTTCTCCTCCTCATTTTTGTAGGTATTCGGTAATTTAATACCCCAGAAATTACACATAGTTTAACACTCATTTTCGAAAACACTTGTGTGATGCAGCTGCAACATCAAATTACATGTGGTTTATCAAATTACCAAACATCTACAAAAATGAGGAGGAGAAATCAAACAGTCTATAATCTGTTACTTTGGCAAGACTGACCGTTTGGTGGTGCTAGGGGCGGTAGTTCTTGCATCGATTGTTCATAAACTTCAAACGGTGTAGAGGGAGCTTTTTTGGGCGAGGCTTCAGGAGTAAAGGCCAAATTGTAAAGTCCCGTTGGCGCTGCAGGAGAATCTTGCCGAATGACGAATTTTGGTGTGTTACTAAAATCAGTTGTTAAACCTCCATTTGTCTAGTAGACACAAATCTTACCTCAATCTGCTCTCGTTGTTTTTACTGAATACATTCTGCAAAAAATCTTGATGTTCCGCCTGTGACTTCCAAGGACTGTGACTGACTGCGTGATTTGGCGCTATTTCTATTGTAGATGCTTGATTCACCGCCATTGGTGATTGGTAAATTTGGAACATACCCTTTTTTGCAAGAAGATGCTTGTTTGAATAAAATTTCATAATTATGATTGATTACCTGTTGCTCCATCTGAGGTGGATCCTGCACCACCACTATACAATCATCATCGTCATCCTCAATTAAAATAGAATCCATTTCCTCTTCCACACATACCACTTCTTGCACCTCCTTCTTCAAATACCTCAAAGCCCTAATTTCCTCAATCGAATATTCTACATTCAAATCCATATAAACTTTATGTTTAGGATAACCGTGCCAATTGGTGGGACGTTCATCATCAGCGCTTGGATTAGTAAGTGCCACTTTAAGACTAGAATTCGCATAATCCTCCAAACAAACAGGAGGCAAATTGGGCGGCAAACATTTCTGAGGAGATTCGTCTTCATGTAACGTAAAACTCGGAACCAGTTTGTGATTGGACAAAACTCGTTTTTTATGAGGTACTGTAGTCCAAGGCCCGGGTTTCATGGTATTCTCTTTGGGAGCCTCTTGCCGCTTGGCAACAGTGACAATACTGACCGGGGCTGCGCCTCCCGACAGTCCTGCACCTGCTCCATCATCCACAAACACTTGAGGTAGTTGTACGTTGCTACTTACACCAATCGCCCCACCTCCAAACATTTGACTACCACCCGCATGTCTTACATGATTTACTTTGCCTTTATAGGAGGGCAGTGACGTCAGCGCTTGTCTTTTGGCTTGCAAACGATTCTCGTTGGGGCCGAAAAGTGAATGTTCGCCAGCGGCAGTGATTATGTGTTTAAGTGCATCTTCGAGTTCGTTGTAGGGCTGCGCCAGGTTCGCTTTGCCCTCTTCGATCACGTTGTGTGCCGATTGGAAGTCGCCGGCCGCTTCGTAATAGTAGGCCCAGGCTTTGTAGAAGTCGGCGAAACCGGTGCACAGGTTTTTCGATTTCATCATGCGGTAGAGTTCGGGCGGGTTCGGGAACGAGTCAATCTGGAGTTTTGATAATTTGGGATTGGGGTTTTATTGCAACTTTGGTAGGTAAAATAAAACAAATAAATAATCTTTTATTTTCAAAAAATAACACGTACAGGGTGGTCCAATTTGGACATTTTTACTAGGAAACGTCAAATTTTGAGCGAAATCTAAAAAAAAAAACCGAACCCCGCACTGTAAAGGGTTCAAATTTCATGAAATCTTGTTTGGTGCAAAACTGCATTTTGATATCTTCAACCGTTTGGCCGCTAGAGGGCGTTTGTGGATTTTAAGCAATCCAAATTGGGCCACTCTGTACCTAAACCTGACATCAGATAAAAATGTTTTTTCAATACAGTCAAGATTGCCACTTGTACATACATTTGCAATTTTGCCAACCAAAAAAAAAATAAATAATATGTACATGGCCTACTATGTTAGATGTTGAGATACAGTGTTGCCATATAAGTACAATTCTTTTTAACAGCAAATGTTTGTCTGCTGTCAAAAATAGTATGCACTGAGTCATATCAAGAAATGACAGTTTCCTATTCTCTTTATTATCAAAATGGAACTAACTTCACTGATCTTGCACTAACTGCACTGACCTTGGAACAACTGTATCCTTGGAGTATGACACTATACGAAGTTTTTGGCAAATTGCTCTGGAAGCCAAAGATTTTTGCAAGGTTATGAACACTCCCAGGCCAGTGTTGCCACTTGTACGTTTTCAGTTTCGCCAACCAAAAAAAAAATTATAGTACATGGCCTACTATGTTAGTGATATCAGGAAAATCAAGGCGATTCAAATTTAACTGCCATTTTATTTTGACAATAGATGTTTAAAGTATTGTTTATCTGTCAAAAATATCATACAGAAATAGAAATGATATACTTGACTCGTTGGTGGATTTTATTGAATGCCTTTTTCATTATCAGAATTTAATAAACTAACTTCACTGATCTTGAACTGACCTTGCACTGATCTTGGAATAGCTACTGTAACCTTGGAACATTAGGCAATTTAAATCAAATTAGCTGATAATTCAAGATGGCGATGTGGGCATCACAAACTTAACCGTGAAAGTGTCTTTACATCTAATTCCATTTGATTGAAATTTGAATGGAAATTGAATGTAAACATTACTTTACGGTTGTTAGGTGTGTTATTCCTACAGAGCCCACAGCGCCATATTGAATTGAGCGAAAGGCAAATCGCCCTATCAAGTAATTCGAACCAGCTGATAATTCAAGATGGCGACGTAGGCATAACAAACTTGACGACCGTGAATGTGCCTTTACATTCAATTCCAATTGATCGCAATTTGAGTGGAAATTGAATGCAAACGTGTAGCAACAGATTTTTCTGAAGCAACACGTTCTTTTTTGTAGCAACACGCAATTGTGTAAAAGTAATGTGAAAATTTTTGTATAGCAACACGAATTTTGCAATTTGTTGCTGTTACCGGCGTTTGGAGGAAATTTTTAAAATATGTAGCAACACAATTTTCTCTGTAGCAACAAGTGTAATTTTGATGTAGCAACAAGGATTGTGCAATTTATTACTATTACCGGCTCTTGGAGTCTGGAAACGGAATTTAAAAATTGTAGCAACACGATTTTTTTGTAGGAACAAGTGTAATTTCGACATTTCGATGTAGCAACAATTTTTAAATATTAAAGGGTTTTGAATTCGAAATTTAGAGGTTGTAGCAACACGGAATTTTTTGAAGCAACTGAATTTTTTTGTAGCAACAGGTTTAATTTTGATATTTCAATGTAGCAACACGGATTTTGCAATTTGTTGCTATTACCGGCTCTTGGAGGCGAAATTTAAAAATTGTAGCAACTTAATTGTTTCTGTAGCTACAAGTGTAATTTTAATATTTCAATATAGCAACACGGATTTTGAAATTTGTTGCTATTAGTGGCGCTTGGAGACAAAATTCAAAAAATGTAGTAACACATTTTTTGTGTAGCAACAGGCATTTTCTTGTAGCAATAAATTTAATTTCGATCTAGCAACATATATTTTTCAATTTTTTGCTATTACCGGCCCTTAGAGACAAAATTTAAAAATTGTAGCAACACGATTTTTTTGTAGCAAGAAGTGTAATTTTGATATTTCAATAGCAATTTGCTGCTATTAACGGCTCTTGGAAGCGAAATTAAAAAATTGTAGCAACACGAATTTTTCTGTAGCAAAAAGTGTGATTTCGTCATTTCGATGTAGCAACACATATTTTTTGCTCTGTAATTATTAACAGCTTTTGAATTTGAAATTTAGAGGTTGTAGCAACACGAATTTTTTTGTAGCAAAAAGTTTAATTTTAATATTTCAATGTAGTAACACCGATTTTGCAATTTGTTGCTATTACCGGCTCTTGAAGGCGAAATTTTAAAATTGTAGCAACATGATTTTTTTTGTAGCAACAAGTGTAATTTTCATATTTCAATATAACAACATGGATTTTGTAACTTTGTTGCTATTAACGGCTATTGGAAACGAAATTCAAAAGTTATATCAACACGAATTTGTTTGTAGCAACAAATTTTATTTCGACATTTCGATGTAGCAATATATATATTTCAATTTGTTGCTATTATACCGGACCTTAGTAACAGAATTTAAAAATTGTAGCAACACGATTTTTTTGTAGCAACAAGTGTAATTTTGATACATATTTCAATGTAGCAACACTGATTTTGCAATTGGTTGCTATTACCGGCTCTTGGAGACGAAATTTTAAAATTGTAGCAACATGATTTTTTTTGTAGCAACAAGTGTAATTTTCATATTTCAATATAGCAACATGGATTTTGAAATGTGTTGCTTTTAACGGCTCTTGGAAACGAAATTCAAAAATTGTAGCAACATATATTTTTCAGTTTGTTTCGATTACCTGCCTTTTTTTTTGTAGCAACAAGTATAATTTTTATATTTCAAAGTAGCAACACCGATTTTGCAATTCGTTGCTATTAACGGCTCTTAGAGGCGAAATTTAAAAAATGTAGCAACACGAATTTTTCTGTAGCAAAAAGTGTGATTTCGTCATTTCGATGTAGCAACACATATTTTTTACTTTGTAATTATTAACAGCTTTTGAATTTGAAATTTAGAGGTTGTAGCAACACGAAATCTTTTGTAGCAACAAGTTTAATTTTAATATTTCAATGTAGCAACACTGATTTTGCAATTGGTTGCTATTACCGGCTCTTGGAGGCGAAATTTTAAAATTGTAGCAACATGATTTTTTTTGTAGCAACAAGTGTAATTTTCATATTTCAATATAACAACGTGGATTTTGAAATTAGTTGCTATCAACGGCTCTTGGAGATGAAATTCAAAAATTGTAGCAAAACCAATTTTTTTGAAGCAATAAATTTTATTTTGTTATTTCGATGTAGCAACATATATTTTTTTAATTTGTTGCTATTTCTGGCCTTTAGATACGGAATTTAAAAATTGTAGCAACACGTTTTTTGTTACAAGTGTAATTTTGATATTTCAATATAGCAACACGAATTTTTCTGTAGCAAAAAGTGTAATTTCGTCATTTCGATGTAACATCACATATTTTTCAATTTGTAATTATTAACGGCTTTTGAATTTAAAATTCGGAGGTTGTAGCAACACGGATTTTTTTGTAGCAACAAGTGCAATTTTGATACCTATATATAGCAACACGATTTTCGAAATTTGTTGGTATTGACGGCTCTTGGAGAAGAAATTCAAAAATTGTAGCAACACAAATTTTCTTGTAGCAATAAATTTTATTTCGACATTTCGATGTAGCAACATATATTTTTCAATTTGTTGCTATTACTGGCTCTTGGAGGCAAAATTTAAAAATTGTAGCAACATAATTTTTTCGTAGCAACAAGTGTTATTTTTACATCTCGATGTAGCAACACATATTTTTCAATTTGTAATTATTAACGGCTTTTGAATTCAAAGTTTAAAGGTTGTAGCAACACGGAATTTTTTGTAGCAACATAATTTTTTTTGTAGCAACAAGCGTAATTTTGATATTTTAATTTAGCAACAACAATATAGAAAATTGACTAAGTTTAAAAGAGACAGAGATAAAGTAAAATAGAAAAAAAATGTGACACTAATTTTTAAGGCCTCAAATAACTTAATATGTAATAAGTTTAAAAAAAAAAAATGTAAGACGAGATAGGAAATCCAATGAGTAACGGTTCAGTTGCATTATTCCCACGACGCCATATTGAATTGAGAGAACGTTGTATTGCTCTATCACATTAGTTAAATCATTGAGGATTAAATAAACAAACATATGTTTGACCGTTGCCGCCATATTGATTTTTTTAGCATGTTTGGCCCTATAATAACAAGGGCCAGAACATAAAAAATGCTTTTCTTATGAATGGCACCACAATATTTGACCTGAACGCCCATATTGAATCACATGGTCTGGATTCAAGGATGATACACACTTATAGGATTGCTTATTGGCCTCGTTGCCATATTGGAGTGTCACCATTTCTGACGTCATAACTAAGTTGTCAGATGTTTAAATAGCCTACGTCACAACTGATAATTTGGAGTGGAGGGATTTGTTTGACACAAGCCTTATAAGGATAGGTTATCCTGTAGTAGTATTGTGTATCATCCTTGGTTTAAATTACCTAATTTATTACAAAAAAAAAAATGTGCTGAACGCGCCATTTCAAACATATTAAAATCAAGAAATGTCAGTTTTCTAATGACAGTAAAGCACTTTCATTATCAAAATGGATTTAACTAATCGTGCACTAACTATACTGATCTCGCATTGATTGATCTTGGAACAACGGATTATGAAATTACCAATTTTTTGACACATGGTGCTTAAAGCCAGAATTTTTTTTAAGGTTATGAAAAAACATTCAAAAATGGCATTTTTTTTCCCATAAGCCACTGCCAGTGTTGCCATTTGTACGTTTTCAGTTTTATCAATCAAAAAAATTATAACACATTGGCCTACTATGTCAAATGTTGAGATACAGTGTTGCCAACAAGTGCAATATGTCAGGAGAATTTTACAGATTTGTTACAAAAAATTTATGGTGATTTGATTACTGTTTCTTTTGACAGTTAATAAAAGACAAACAATTAGATTTCAATTGATTATTTGTTGAGTTGATTGAACCAATAGCGTACATTTCATGCGCACTGACTGTATTTCCATCTCTTTCTCTCAGCCTGTTAAAGAAACAGATAGAAATACATTTTCTTTGTACTAATGGCACTAAATGAAAATACCATAACTTCAATTATCTTGCACTAACTGCACTGATCTTGGAACAACTATATCCTTGAAAAGCCTATATTGAATGTGATTGAAGAAGATATGACCAGTAAAGACCCAAAATAATGAATTTTTCTTATTTTGTCCACTCCTTTGCTTCTTTTTGCTGTATCAACTTACCTTCCATTTTTATTTCTTAAGCCAGATTCACACTTCAATATTTATTTCCATTGCAAACCTGTTAAAATTCTAACCTAACATTTCCATTTTCTTCCGACCCCAAACCCCTTAAGCCAATTTCTGAAGTATTTTGGCCAGTAAACAAATTCTCAACACTTATAAATCGAAAATCACTTACATATTTAATCCACAACTTGCAAAATCGTATGTCATTGGTGTACCGAGGGTCGTTTTCGTACAACCCCAGGCAATATTCTAGGACGCCGGCACAGTTACCTTCATGCCCATTCTTGGGATAACTTTGCTCGATCCAGGCAATGTACTCGTAGTACTTCTCCAAAGGATCGTCACCCTGGTAGTTTGTAATCTGTGCTTCAAATTCCCTTAAAAAACAAATTCAAAATTACAGTGGTTCAAAAAAACAAAAAACAGAAAAATTCTTACTGTTTTTGTTGTTGCAGCTGCACCTGGTATTCGGGATTGGTTTGAGCTTGCAGAGCCATTTCCAGTTGGTGCGGGTTGCGGCCTCTACGTAAAGGTTGGATGTTTTCCTTGCTCAAATCGAAATCCATGATTTCCAACAATTAATTTTGACGTTTTCCAGCTTTTTCCCTGAGACCCCTAAACTACAACTGTCAAAATAAAATCCACTCGGGCCACAAAAAGATTGTTTGTTTATGTGGTGCGCCCCCTCAAAATACACTTTTCAACACATTTTTTGATGGTTTTTATTCATTTTAGTATGTTTTTGCAGAAATAATTAGCCATTTATTGAATATTAGGTTTTTAACGAAATTTTACTTCTTTGTTGGGATTTTTAGTTTTGGAATTACACTAGCCAGAACAAATTTGACGTTGTTTCAGGTTGGCATTAGTTGCATTCGACCGGCGTATTTGTTTTAAAAAAATAGAAGCGGAATTCCAGTGCACTCGGTGCAGCACCAATTTTGCTTGCAAATCCATAAAATCTGCATGGAAAGGTAGACAGAACATTGCGTTTTTGTCGCACCTAGTTCAGTCAAGAATTGAGTGCACTAGGAACGAAAAGTGCTAAGACCCCTCAGCCGTTTTCGGGTGCCACAGTTTGAGCACTCCAGAGTTACTCTAAAGTACTTCGTTCGCACTTTGACCCGTTGATCTGCGCAGATTTCGCGCTCCGGAGCTGTTCTCACTTTTTCGTCAGAGTAGAATGCTCTAGAAGCTTGAAGGTTCTGTATTGACAAACAAATATACATTCCATTCGCACTAGTTCATTTATAGTTTTTTTACTCAGAACCGGACTAACTCGGTTTTTTAGTTCCAAATCAGTTCAGAACTAGTATTATAACAGACCTTCAACAACTTGGAGCGCGCCGATGTCAGTTGGAATTAATTAATTTTATATGTTCAGCAATAGTTATGAAACTAACTGCACTCGGAGCAAAGAGTGCAACATCAATTTCTCGATAAAATGCAAAAACCTAAATTCCTCGATTTCGTCAACTACACCAAGTGAACTGGAACCATTAGAATACACTCTTTTTACTCCCTTCTCACTCGAACGCAAATAATGTTACAACAGTACTTCACATACACTAGTTATATTCCTTTCACATCTGAAAAAAGCTCCGGAACAGCTCCGAGGCGTTACGCGTTTATTCCTTACGAACGATATTAGAAAGTTCTCGTGCCTCACACGCTATGCTAATACGGTAACGCTAACAATACGGTATTTCACATGGTATTTTAGAGTTCTCGGACACGAAGACACATGAATCCGTTATTCTGTTTACATTTTGACAGCTGATTTGAGTGATCTAACCCAACTTTTTTTTGCTTGTTTTGTAACTTTTATTTATCCTGAAGATTTCTGAGTGTGATTAAATGTTCCCTTGGTGTTTTTTATGGAGGAATTATTAGAAGTTGCTGTTTTTGCAGACATAAATGTAGCGTAAACTAGTTTTGACATTGCATAGCGTTACGGTAAGGCATCCGCTAAGTTCCGTTAAGCCCGATTGCACCGTCTCTCTTAACCGAGGCTTAGAGATAACTATTCCTTAAAGTGACATTTTCCCATGCAAAACTGTCAATTTAAGGGATAGTTATCGTTAAGCCTCAGTTAAGAGAGACGGTGCAATCGGGCATTAGATAGCGGGCTCCGTTAACGCTAATACCGTAAGAACTGTCATACTTGTCAAATAGCGTTACGGTATTTGAAATTTGGACAGCACGAGAACTCTTTGAATGGAATACCGGAACGGAACAGTTTTTTCTTTGCGGACCGGAACTAAACCCATGTTTCATAGAAATGTAAGGCAGGCTGGGCAGGTAGAACCGGAACCGATATAAATTAATCGGTTCTTACCGGTATTTTTCGTTTTCAAGATTTCATAAATTAGGCTGCTGTTGGTCATTTAATTCTGAAAAAACAACGCGCATTTGTGAACTCGGCTAGGATATTACACATTACAAACTATTACAGGATTGCTCATCCGCCTCGATTTTTGAAATTAAGTTCATATAATGTTGCTCTGTTGTTTACGTCATCAACAGTGTCGTAAGCGGTTTGCGCCAGCGGTAGTAGTTGAGAATACATATAATATATTTATAATGAAAAATATTACTTAATTTTGATTACTATAATAGACAAGGGCAGGGTTGCCAGACGTCCCACCTTAGGAGGGACAGTCCCGCATTTTGTTAATCAGTCCCGCCTTTTTTTAATTAATTTCAGGTCCCGCTTTTCACGTGAATTGTCTCGGTGTTCCCGCTTTTTACACCCAGTCTTCACATTTAGTGCAAAAAAACGCTTATTATATAAATAGCAATTTCTACATTTAAAATCGACGCAAAAATCACCTAACGAGCCTGAATCGCAAACATTTCGTCAAGGTCTGCGGATGACGTCACCAATATTAACTCCTGACGTAGTGACGTCACTCGCAGACCTTGTGGACTCGAGAACCGGCGAATGAATGCTTTCTCAGGATGAGCAATCCTGTTAGTTTACGATTCTTGGGTTTTATTAATAAATATTGTATGTTGTGTAGGTATAAAAATGTCAAAAATTCCAACAAAATCCAAATCTCATTGCACATACAAACTAGCATCTGCAAAAAACTTTTTTTCTGGCTCCTGAAAAATAGACAACTTTCGTCAAAAATAATTTTTTCTATGACCGTTAGAAAATAAACAACTTTCGTCATATTTTACCTTAGCCGAAAACTTCACTTTCGTCACTAGTGTTAAAATATCTAGTGACGAAAGTGAATGATTAGGATTTTACATGTTCAAAACATTCTTTCAAATCCAATTATAATTTAATTTTTATTTATCACTACAGCCTCTCCCCCCCCACCTTATGCTTTTGGGTGTGACACCCGAAAAAAATGTTCTCCCTCTGGATAAGAACAGTCCCGCTTTTTCATTTCATAGATCTGGCAACCCTGGACAAGGGGAAGATGCAAATGAGATCTAGACAATAAGGGTTGTTTTAGAATATTAAATATTGTATTAAAACTGTCTGAAACCCAATATGCATCAAGCAAAAATCAGCGCAATCATAGCATGTGGTGCAAGCATCCCAAGAATAATACATACACACCATTACTATACAAGATTGCTTATCGGCACCATTGATGACGTCATAAGCTACGTTGTCAGCTGCTATATATTTATAACCGTGTTCGTTTTTGTCATCTTTTGCGTCGATTTGTTTGAAAATTTTGACAGGCATGTTATTTGTATTTTGAAATTGTCTGAAGCAGTCAAAATTTCGAAGCAAATCAACGAAAATTGATCAATCGGGCGCAGTTTTGAGCCTAAATTCGAAAGCGCTATTTGTTCAGAACTGATCCGGAACCAATTCGAACCGCGAACAAAGAACTTTAATTGGAATTTAGTGATCTTAAAACGACTGAATCTGTTCTGGAACTAATATAATTTATTTGCGAATAGTTCAGAAAAGAATCAGTTTTTTGAATCTACTTGGAGCTAAACTAATAGTATTTTTTTGTGGGTGTAGGATTAGTTGGAGTAGCCCAGAATCGATACGGAACTGAATCGAGTCGAACAGCGAATAAAGAACTGTACTGAAACTTAGTGATTTCAGAACGGAACCAGTTTTTATAATGACAGATATGTAATGATTTTTAAATTTATGATAGAAATCTGCAATTTTTCTATGATTTTGCAGATTCCTGTAGAGTATATCTTTCCTATACAAATGTCGGTTGTAAAATATCAGGCTTGACTCCCGAATCAAATTCCGAATCGATTCGAGTCCAATATTATGATCCAGTTCAAGATTTTTATTAGTTCAGTTAGTAAGCCTTGTTCCAACTGTTCTAACCAACATGAAAACCATACCAGAACCAGTAATTTCCAGTTTCCCATCTATTTTTCAATAAGTTGAATGTTCATACTAGTTGAGAAATGAATTGATCGACTGGAAATTACCGTTTTACGGTTGGAACAGAGCCTTAGGGCGGGTATTATAAAACTACTTTGAGAGTTAACTTAAAGTTAACTTCTGGAATTACATATAATTCAAAAAGTTAACTGTCAAAGCAGTTTTATAATACCCGCCCTTAATCAATCGTATGCACTTTTGGAGTGCGTTCGAAATCACCTTGGGCGTCACACCGAGTGCACACCAGCCATTAATAATTCATAGCTGGAGTGCGTTTAGAAATGGAGTGTGAGGGTAGAGTAATAGTTGTTTGTCAGAGTATGCTGAAATCATTACTTGGAGTGCACTCTGGGTACGCTATTTCTGAACGTATCGGGGTGTTGTGGTAAATGTCAACATCAAACTCGGTGAAAACCATGGGGCGTTTTTCAACCCAGTCCCTGAGTGGAGTAATGTGGACGTGCTCTGAGCGCGTCAACTTTCCATTTCTGAACGATTCCAGCGTAACACTCCGAGTAAGCACCTGGTAATTTATGAACGGTTTAGAGTTACTCTAGGGTCACTCTCACATTAGAGTGCTATTTCTAAACGAAACCCCGGTGTACATTCGGTGTGACGCCCAGGGTGATTTTGAATGCACCCCTGAGACAAAAGACGAAAACGCTTTGTTTACAAATAGTCAACCAGTGCATTCAACTGACGTTACTCTTATCAAATGTGACTTTTCAGCAACTGGCAACACTGTTAAAAAAGTAATCAACATAAATCATAACCTCACAATTTTACATATGGGGATTTTTTTTGAAAAAAACATGTCCTTTTAAATTTTAAAATTCCTTAATTTGTGTTGTTAATTAAAACCATTATAACTCTGCCATGACGGAAGAAGAAAGTTTCCCTAGAGGGGGCTCCGTGGTACGAAAAAGACCGCCCCAAGAAAACGAGACAGTAAGTAGAAAATAGCACTTTACCGAACACTATGCCTTTTATATAGTGTGCTTACTTTACCGCTTAGTGTGACAATGTTATATATGAGTTTTTTCTTTATTTGTAGTTATTCAGCATTGCCAAACCTCCAAAGGCCAAAAAATCCAAGAAATCCAAGCCACTAGAAACCGCTCAAACCTCAGACGACATATTTCAATCTGTAATCAACATAAAAGGATCTCTAAGCTATAATGTAAGTACTACCATGCTTAAAGTAATTACTAAAGATTATCACTTGATTAAATGATGATTTATTTCAGAAAATCCAAACAGGCATGGTAATCCTGGGCTGCATAAGAAACGTATCCACATTCGCCTTGGAAATCGAACTTCCAGGCCTTTGTTTCGCCACCGTACCCATAACCTCAATCTCTGACCCCTTTACAAAACACCTAAACAAACAACTAGAAAACGACGAACCTGAAACGACCACCATTTTATCCAAAATGTTCTCAATCGGCCAACACATCCCAGCAAAAATAATCAACATTGAATCAAAAGACAGTGGTACCAAAGTCGAAGCTACAATGAACCCAAGAGAAATCTATTCTACTTACAACCATAACCTATTTAAAAAGGGCAGTCTTGTTTGGGGCAGCATCAACATCGCAGGCGATCACGGCTTTGAAATAGATTTGGGAGTCAAAAACACTAGGGCCTTTTTGCCTTTGAAGAATCTACAACCAGACCAAGACTATTCAATTGGCAAACCAATTTGGTGTGTGGTACATAAATTTGACAACACTGCAACTGCTTCAACTGTTAGACTTAGTGCAAAAACTGAACATTTACTCAAACAGGAAACTGTTGACAATTTGCACTTGCTTATCCCTTCCATGAAGGTTGAATTTTATATGGACAAAATCAAACCTCATGGGATTTTAGGTAAAATTTCTGACAATAATTTCATTGGTTATGTTGATGAGAATTACCTCAACAAACCATTGGCTAATTATCAAGAAGGCAGACTAATTAGTGCATACATTCTCTATGTGGAACCTACCACAGATATAGTGCATCTCACTTTGCGACTGCCTTTAGTGCAACAAACCAAGCCACTGGATGTCAATGTGGGTGATATTTTGACAGCACAAGTGTCAAAAAAGTTATACAATGGGTTGTTGTTTGCATTGTTGCCAACTAAACTAAAAGCATTTGTTACCAACCGCAGATTGCTCAATACAATAAACAAAAAAGACCCTAAAATAACTGAGGTGCTTGGCCAAAAATACCCAATTACTAGTAAACATCAAGTCAGGATTATTGACTACAACCACCTTAGTCAGTTGTTTATTTGCACCCCTGAGCAAAACGTTATCAAAGAAACAGTTTTTGCTGCACAAGATTTAACCCCTGGTCAATTATGTGATGTCATTGTTGAGGACATCAAGGAGGAGGGCATTGTAGTGGCAACAGGGCATATCAAAGGGTTTGTTACCAATTTGCATTTGAGCAACAATCGTTATACGGCTAATGTGAAAAAGAAGTTTAAGGAAGGACAAAAAATTAAGGCTAGGTAAGTAGTTGGCAACACTGCTTTGACTTGTGTCACTTATGTTTACACAGTGTTGTCTTTGAATTTTGTTTTCTTCATTTTTGAATTAAAACATCAGCATAGTGCAAATAGCTGATGACTTGTTAATGATGTCAAAAATAATGACACACCAACATGGCGGCGATTACTGAAAACGAGGTCGATAAGCAATCCTTAGTAGTGTGTATTATCCTTGTCTTATACTAAACAAACCTCAAGTGCCTAATTCACAGTGAAAAATTTGCAATCAAATAAACACAATGTAACAAACAAAAACAAACTCATTTCATAATCTACAAAATAAATGTTGACGTATGACAGAATTCCCTTAATTTGATTGGTCAAACGCCTTATAATTTAGGTTTTGTGTGTTTTGTCCGTTTTTGCATGGATCATTATGTATGGTTATGCAAAGTTATCTGGGATGGCCTCAACTTGATGACATCATTTGGGGTGCCCTATGGAAATTTGCATTATGTTGAGGCACCCCGGATGACTACATAAAAGTTATCAAACAACCTACCTTTCCCAAGCAACCCTGTAATTTAGGTTAATGAATTGGTAACAGAAACATTTATAGTTCTGGCAACACTGCTGTAAATACAGTGTCAACGTTAACGTCAATTTCTGAGCAAGATACAATAAAATTAACCCTTCACTCTGAAGCTCAAATTTCATGAAATCGTGATTGGTGTAAACTATTTTATCGCTAGAGGGCGTTTTTTGAAATTCGAGCCTCAGAGTGGGGAGATCATTTTTTTTTTTTTGTATCTGGCTCAGAAATTGACGTTTCCTCATCAATTTTTCTAGAGTCCTGAGTGTAACGGACCAAAAAGTCCATTTCACTTTGAAACCGGCCCTATTGGAAAACGACGACTGCCTGACCAAAATGGAGGACGCCCAAATAGGTAAAAAATACATCGGAGTAGTGTCGAAAGTCTCCGACAGTGGCGCTCTAGTCGTTTTCTACGACAACGTCAAAGGATGGATCAGTCAAAAGGGTATGGGCAAAGAATCCACCGACCCTCAAAAGTATTTTTTCGTCGGTCAAGTGGTCAACATTTACGTTTGGCGGCTGGAACCGACTCATATGTATTTGAGTTTGTTTCAACCTCAAATAAAAACATCTTTGCCCAATATTGGTGGACGATATTGCGGCATTGTCAAGTCTACAAACGAGCGGGGAGTTAATGTGCAAATAGAGAACACAAAAAGACGCGGCTTTATACCAAATGCTCATTTAAGCTGCAGCATTAACTTGTGCTTGTCAGTGAAAAGTATGATGTTTGTAAAATTGGCAACACTGCAGTTTAATAATGAAGTTTTATTTTAGACGCCTTATCTGTTGGAGATAGGGTTCAAGATTTGATGTATGTAGGAGGTATGAAGCCTCAATTGTTTTCCAGACGAGAGGCCTTAGCGATGAAATCTAAAAGAGTGAACTCATTGAAAAACTTAGACGAGGGCCAAATAATCAGGTGCTTCTATCAGAGTACCACAGATGAAGGCATTTATGTGGTACCACTGATTTATGACTTTAGCGAACCTGTTTTTATAAATAAAAAGGTAATATTGGTAACACTTTTTGACAGCTGACATACATTGTTGCCATTTTACAGGAAATTAATTTCAAGGATTTTGTTGAACATCAACTATTATTAGCCAGAATCAAAAAACTTGATCTTGTAAACAAGCAAATCATCCTTAGCATTAAACCGAAAGAGGTTTTTGATGGAAAAGTTGAGGTTAGTTTAACCAAAAAAAAAATGACATTTATGACGTTTTAATTTCTGTTTTTCGTTTGACAGACCACCATTAATCTATTTACTGAATACCTAAACGAATTGACTTTTTTGTATCAACAAGCGAAAAAACACAAAAGCACGTTTGTTGATTTCAACCCTGGTGACCAAGTGACGTGCAAAATTGAAAAATTAGGTCTCCAAGGTGGCTGCGTTGCAACGTTGCCAAATGGTGCTCAGGCAATTGCAGTCCCCTCCCTTTGTCCTAGTAAGTATAAGCTTCAAACATCCAACAAAACATGACAACATTGTTTTTCAGAAACCATCAAAGTAGGCGATTTGGTTATTGGCACGGTGTTGGGGCACGACTACGAAAAAAATTTCGTTGACATTTGCTTGAAAACTGACATATGCGGACGTATTAATCCCACGCAAGATGGCGCCCTAACCGAAGTGCTGCCATCTGGTTTAGCTAAGAAGCTTTTAGAAAAAGATGGCTGCGTTATAGCTTTGCTAAACCATCCCAGCGGTAATAAACAATTGATTTATTTGCCAACTAGATTGCATCAAAATGACTTGTTTGACAGTTGTCTTGAATATTACAAAGAAAAAAAATTAAAAGTTTGCGTTTGCGGGTGAGAATTGAATTTGTGACAAGTTGGCAACATTGTATGAATTTAATTTTTTTAGGAGAATGAAAAAGTTTTTGATTGGTATGAGCAAAAAGTTGTTTTTGGAAATGGACAAGGTTGCTAATAAGAAAAGTAAAGTGGATATAGTGCCTCATGTAGTAGAAACAAAAAAGAAGCATGAAGTTGAAATTACTCAAAAAAAGAAGACCATTGAAATAGAAGAAATGGATTCTGATAGTGGTATTGAACCAGAAGAAGAAAACAACATGGAAATTGCTAGCAACCACTCAATAACATTACCAGGCATTTCTTCTTTTTTTAGCATTCCTAAAGTTGACGCAGAAACTCAAGACACTTCTTCATCTGAAGACGAAGATGACACGCCAAAAGAAAAAAAGAAGAAGAAATTGTCGCCTACAGAACGCGCTGAACTGCTGCGTCAAGAAGAAGAGCGTCTCACGAAAATTGAAAAGGAGCTGGCAGATGCGAGTAGAGCACCTGAAAGTGCTGACCAATTTGACAGGTTGCTTTTGGCCAAACCCGATTCGGCTGAGCTGTGGGCCAAATATGTTGCTTTACATATTGCGGTAAGTGTGGCAACAGTGTAAATTATCATTATTAACTAATTTATTCCAGGCAACTGAAATTGATAAAGCCAGAGCGGTAGCCAAGAAGGCCTTGGACACAATCAATATGACATTGACAGATGAGAAATTCAAAATCTGGATTGTCCTATTGAATTTGGAAAACTTGTTTGGCACTAAAGAAAGTTTTGACAAAACTCTGGAAGATGCGTTGAAATTCAACGATTCCCTAAAAGTTTATCTGAAAGCAATTGAAATGTTGGCCGAAAACGCCAAATACAGCGAAATGGAAGAGAAAATCGACAAGGCCAGAGTCAAGCACAAGCAAAACGCTACAATGTGGCTGGAAATTGGAAAAACCTACTATCAAATCGGCAAATACAAAGAGGCCAGAAACTGCAAAGATCGCGCCCTCAAATCAATCCTAGATAAAAAAACACGTAAGTACTACTTGTCAGGCCATTTTGTGATACAATACAATGTTGTCATGTTTACAGAAATGAACATCATTGTCCGTTTCGCCATATTGGAATTCAAACACGGCGAGCCGGATCAAGGTAGTGCCATATTTGAAACAATCCTGACATCGGATCCGAAAAAAATCAACATTTGGTCAACTTATGTCGATCAGCTGGTCAAAAAGGAGCGCCTGGATGAGGCCAGACAAGTGCTAGAGCGGGCAGTTTGTCAAAGGTTGCCCCTAAAAAGTATGAAGTCGTTGTTTATGAAGTTTAGGAAGTTTGAAGAAGTACACGGGACTCCTGCAAGTGTAGACGGTGTCAAACAGAGGGCGCAAGAGTATGTTAACAAGTTCGAAAAAAGGCATTAATAATAAAACTATTTTGAATTTAAATGTATATGTTTTGTTTTTGTTATCATAATATATTTAACAATTATAAAAACAGCCTGAACAGTGTAGGTACCCAATATTACATATTAGGTCTGAGCCATTTTCTCGCTTCACTTTTTTCAAAACAGGTTTGAAACAAGCAATGATAACAGCATTGTTCCTTTCAAACCTGTTTTGAACTAATGTCAAAAAAGTGGACACGAGAAAACGGCTCTGTTTGTAAAGAAATCACAAACCGCTCAGAGCAAATTTCATTGATTGAAGACAGTTGGTCTACCCAGTAATCTATAATTTTTTGTTTTCCTAATAGCGCCGTTGGCTGAATTTTTGAAAATTTTCAAAGTCACGCGTTCTCCTGGCATCTAAGAATGTTCTTAGGCAAATCCATTTATGCAAAAATATAAATTTGTACTACATTCCTAAATTATTTCCCAATTTCCAGGTGGCCGAATAAGTAGTGGTGACACAAAGTTATGTTTTTTTTTGAATGACTCCCTCTGTATATTATAACATTTCTGGATTCTGCAAGAAATTCTAGACATATTTCATGGATAATCCGTGTGAAGCTAAATTCAGCTGATGTAAACACCGTGGTGGAATGGTGGAAAAAGTGGTGTTGGTAAATTAAACAGGGTTTGGCATTGGCATTAGTGAATTTTAATCACCGCATCTGTGGTAGTGCACCATTTTGGTAAATTTAGCCACATGCGGAATGTCATGTCATATACCTATCTTCAACTGTTTCAGAAATATTAACAGTTGAAAATTGACTTTTTTGCTACTTTGACAGACTGTAAAACGTAAATCCTGAACGATTGATTTAACAGCAAAACCGATTTTACATTTGTGGCGATCCCAGAATTTCGTGTTTTAAAGCGCTGCCAAAGTTACAAAAAATATAAGTTCAATCGAAAGAAGATGTTTAGAAGAAACTGTCAGAGTGCTGTCAATAGACAAAGACTTCCACGTTGACTGCTATGTGTGTGAAGAGTGCAACATGCAATTGACAGACGAGCCTGACAAGCGCTGCTACCCGCTAGAGGGCCGGCTACTTTGCCGCTCCTGCCACATACAAAGGCTGAATCATACAACCTGTCAGTGCCACTTATCAGTATAGTGGCTAAATCTGTCAATTGTCAATTAGGTGATTATTATTGTTGATTGAATTTGTTTAAAACATTCTTTGTTTTTGGGTTATATACCTGTTGCAATAAGGATAATATATGTTAGTTTATTAGAAATATATCCTCATAAGGTCTTCTTTTATTAATTAGTAATAGGTTATAGGTCCAGTTTATTTTTTTTAATATTTTGTACATTTTTCTGTAATATGACTATTTAAGTTCACGACAGATTGTATTATTACAATTTTTTTTTTGTATTTATTCTTGTTTCGTTTTCATTGGCCCATCCTATATAAAGCTGGCCACAGACTAGCATACATGTGCGTCATACATGTTTGTCGTAAACGCTTGCGCGTTCATGTTTACCTGTATGTGGAGAAAAATCTGCAAGCATGTACAGGGTGGCCATTTTATTAGGGGCCTATGTCTTTTCTCAGAAACTACAGGGTGTACAAAAAAAATATAAATACAAAAGTTTCTTGGTTTTAAGCAATGTTGTCAATTATTTGCGTTTTATTTATACAGGGTGTCCCAAAAGTGCTGCACCGACTTCAAAACCAGAATTTTAAATGGAACACCCTGTATGTTATTGCATATTTAGATTCTACGTAAAATTCTGAGCAGATTTCATGAAATACCTATATCTTATACCTAAGTTCAACTGTTTTACAGCCTGTCAAAGTTGCAAAAAGTCAATTTTCAACTGTCAATATTTCCAAAATAGTTGAAGATAGGTATATGATAATGTACAGGGTATTTGATTATATTTGGCAGCATACCTACAGCCTTTACTATTTAGGATAGAAAAAAATTGTAAATACAAAACTTGACAGTTTTTTTCTATATTTTCTTTTAACGTTATCAGAAAAATCAAAATCGCATCGGAAAATGGAGAAACGTAGACAACTTCGACTTTTTTAAATGAAACACCCTGTATATTTTGCGATAAAATGAAAGACCTTTTCTTCCTGATTACAAATATATATATATGTTGATCACATTTGCATGAGCCATTTCTGACATATTTCAGCTTAAATTTTAACTAAATTGCAAAGAAATTTTAGATAAAGATAGAGATCCTTATGGAACTTCTCTGCAAATTCTTTATAATTTAACCTGAGATATGTCAACAATTGCTCACACAAATCTTATAAATATATATATATATATTTGGAATCAGAAAGAATAGATCTTTCATTTTATCGCAAAATATACAGGGTGGTCCATTAAAAAAAGTCGAAGTTGCTTACGTTTATCCATTTTCCGATGTGATTTTGTTTTTTCTGATAACGTTATCAGAAAATATAGAAAAAAACTGTCAAGTTTTGTATTTAAAATTTTTTTCTATCTTAAATAGTAAAGGCTGTATAGTCTGGCAAGTGGTAACTTGGTAGAGACGAAAGGGGGAAGAAAAGTGGGGCGTGACCTAAAAATATTCACTGACACCTCAACTGACACCACCTGATGACAGCCATGTCTTTCGGTTCAGTGGCACCGGAAACACCAATAAAATTATTAGAAAAAAAAATTCTTTAGTTTCGCCAATAACCACGCCACTGCCTGCTGTCGTTCAGACTCTAACCAATAGAATCATACCTCTGAATAATCACGCCTCTCCACATCTATCATTTTGCAATGTTGCCGGATTTTTTTCTATTTCAAAATACTACACATGCCCATATAGCAAAAAAAAAATGTCACCAACTTGTTTTTCATTATTTCCGACAAGTTTGGCAAATTAGCAAATTCTTTTGCAGTTCGCCGTTTCGCTAGCCAGACTATAGGTATGGTGCCAAATATAATCAAATACCCTGTACATGAAATATGCAGAGCTATTTTTGAGACACCCTGTATAATAAAAAATATATTAAAAAATTTCAAACAAAAAAACAAAATCGACGTGTCTGAGCGATTTTTCAAAAATTCTACTGTTTTCAAAATAATGAATTTATCCGTTACTTTACGGACACACTGTATAAACCAAAACTTACATGGTTTTTTGTATATGGGTTTCTCAACCATATCTTCTAGGTACCCTCTACTAGTGCATCTTTCATCTTTTATTTCTCCACGTGTTGTGTTTTGCGTTACGTTGTCACTTATCGGGTCCAGGTTGTGGTTTGTGCAAATAAAGGCGAAAAACTGAAAATCTGTTATTCAACCCTCAGTTATGGTATGGGATAATAATATGATATTATCTTCAACCTGTTTTATTTAGTGTTAAATTATGGACCAAATGGTTATAAAGTCCTGCTTGTTACCAAAGTAGGTGAATTCTATTCTCTAGTTAAAAAAAATTTCTACTTGGTAACATAACAACCAGGACCTTCACCGCAGTTGGTCCATATAATTTGTTCCTTAGTATAGTCTGGCAAGTGATAAGTTGATAGAGACGAAAGAGTCACTTCACTTTAACTTACACCGCTTAGGTCCATATTCTCCGTAGTTCATAAAGCCTGGCTTAGTGGAAAAGCTCGGCTTTGTCACAGAAAAAGCCAAGCGTTTCCACTAAGCCAGGCTTTATGAACTACGGAGAATATGGCCCTTAATGACAGACATGTTTTTGGGTTCAGTGGTACATGAGTGGTACCGAAAACACCAAGGAAATGAACCAGTAAAATTATTAGAATTTTTTTTCTAAGTTTCGCCAATAACCACGCCACTGTGCTGTCGTTCAGGCTCTAACCTTAGGCTCTAACCAATAGAATCATGCTTCTAAATAATCACGCCTCTCCACATTTATCATTTCGCAATGTTGCCGGATTTTTTTCTATTTCAAAAAAAGTAATTCTTGAATTCTATTATAAATAAATCCCAAATTTTAGGGGTTAATTTGCTTACCTTCGGGTTGTTTAAATAAAAAACTGTCCAAACAAAGTTGCCAGATTTATTGAAAATATGAACGATCGAACACGCCTCTTCCGGGTCTTGAGCCCGTAAGCGGTGCTTACTCCCGCTATATTATAGCTACGCCACTGGTTGAGCTGAACTGAAATACCTCGTGACGGCACTGCCAACACCCATAACATTAAAATTAACATTGTGTTTTTCCAATTCCAATTTATTTGCTAGGCACTCAGTTATAAAATTACTCTGAGACCCGGCATCTAATAACGCACCTATTATACAGGGTATGTTACCATGTTACTAAGCACGCGGTGGTTCATAGCATATAGTCGATGCTCAAGGTTGCGTCTTGGCTCAAGTACGACTTGACGCCATATTTGCTATTCCAAACAACATGAAACGATGCTCACAACTGTCAAACATCGGAGCTTGAGCCAAGCACCCGTCTATGAATACCGGATTAACGGAGATTGAAGAAAAAACTGAATACAAATACAATACTTGTAGATAGATGAACATAAGTACTAAAGTCCGACAAATACCATTTTAAAGTTACGTGATATTGATGGCAAAAAACGTATGTTCATTGATTATGTCGTTGATACAGTGTTGCCAGAATTGAAGGATTTCCTTCAATATGAAGGGTTTTGATCTAAATTTTTGATTACTGAAGAATTGAAGGTTTTTATCCGAATTTGAAGGATTTTGAGAGAAATTGATAATTTAGCAAATATTCCAATCATTAAAGCAAAAAATTTAATTTTTATTAAAATAAATTAATTAGTTGCATGAGAAAAAATACGAAACGCCAATTTTTGCTACGCCACTGCGTCAGAACTTATGATTAAGGCTATGAATATTTTGTTTGTCTTGTCTTTTTTCATTTTATTTAAAAGAATTTCCTACATGTTAAGTAAAGTGTTTTTTTTTGAAGGAATAGGCCGGCATAGACACACGTTCTTTCGCGCGGTTTTTCGTGTCATCTGCAAAATTCTGTGAAAAATCATGTGCGTGAGTGAGGAGGGCTACACGCAATGATAGAATGGGAAGGGA